TCTCACCCCACTTTTCTGGAAGAGTTGAAGCAGCTGCTTTGCCCCTTAATATCATGATTGCTTAGACTGAGCAAAATTCATATTTTCAACTATGAGTTACCAATAAAAATGCACAAAGCACCTTAAAACATGTTTGCATTAATTAATTAATTAATTAATTAATTGTCTAAATTTATATTTAATATGTTAAGCACCAGCTGGATTGCTATTAATCTTATGGTTAAACCTGGATGCAAATTGACTAAATTGTAGATTTTCTCTGAAAATACCTTTTTCAGTTTTTTACCAAATAATTTAATGTAGTCTTTTTAAAAGGCTGATAGAGATTTCCTCTGCTGATGAAAATAATAGGGACCACTCTATGTTATTATTTCTGATTTCTAGGGGAACTGCTCAGATTATCTAGTCAGGCAAATTACAATTTCTCTCCTTAAGCATTTTGTTTCGAGAATTTTCCTTCCTCATGACACAATGGAGAGGAGAGCCTCTGATATTGGCATATTTTCTTTTTAACTCAATCTCTTATTTTAACTAAAAAGCCTACAGTACTTTCCTCTCTAAGCATTAAAAAATTCTAGTAATTTTATATTGTTACATATTGTATAGCATTTATTTTTGGCCAATCACCTGCCTACCCAGGGCAATGCATATTGATTCTTCACCAATCAGTGAACAATTTTTCTTCTTTCCCACTGTATCTTCTTTGTTGGCAGATGGTCTACAGAAAGAAAAATGATAGGACAAATGGTGGAAAGAAGGAAGATTATAAATGCCAGACATCATCATTTGGGACTCTCCCTAAAGCACGGGAAGCAAGGTATAGCTGTTCAGTAAAAGACTCATCTGCAAATAAGCCAGTAGCCATTTTTTGCGCATTCAAATTTACAGATGTTCCAAAACCAGCTTAAAGTCCAAATATTTAAAGACCACCTCCCTCAAGGCTATCTTTTCAAAGCTCTAAATACCTGCTGGGGAGGCCCTACTACCAGTAATAGTCCCATTCATGACAAGGGTAGGGCTCTCTCAGGAGGAAGGTCTCCGGAGCAAGGAGTCCTAGCCTGCTGTCCATTCAGGAAGGCTGTACAAATTATTCTGTTTGGGGTTTAATATGGTTTTAGTACTGGATTTTCTTTTTATTGTTTTTATGGTATTATTACAATGATTTTATGATAATATAATTTTATTTGGCATTTTTGTGACTGTAAACTGCTGAGAGTCATTGGCAGAACACAAATTAGTTAATAATAAATTAGGAAAATTATAATGGTCCTCTACACATTGTTTTGTTTGAACAACTGAAAACAAGCCTATTCACCCAAGGTAATTTTAGACTAACAAGTACCTCAGGACCAACCTCCCTCTTAGACTTTTTTTTTTTAATGAACTATATTTTGCTTTTTTATTTATTGTCTTCATTGACATTGGTAGTTTTATTGTTTTCTTGAAAAGAGCTTTTATTATTCTTTTGTATTTCTATTTGGATTTTTTCATGAAGAATTTCAGTATAAAAAAAAACAGAGTAAACTATTTTTTCCAAATGCAGTTGCAGTGGCAACCTATTTCATATTACCTAGTAAAATAGCATAGATCAATGTTTCTTAATATGTCTCCTAGGACTCCACAGGGTCCCCCGTGACTCAATCAAGGGTCCTCAAAATCCAAATTTGCCAGCCTATGCTGAAATCCCATCAAACAATTGTGAGAACCAGCAGTAGCAGTAAATACTTAGATTTCAATATTTAATACCACACACATTGATAAATATAACCATACATACAAACACTGTTTTGGGATCCTGAGAGAATTTTTTAAAGAAACAATACAATAGATTGTATTCAGTTTTGAAGTTCCCTTTTTGGGCTTGGTTCTTTAACCCAGAGACACACAAATTGTGGGTTTCTTTGTGTTCTCTGAGATTGGCTGTTTTCAGAGAGCAGCAAGGACCACGCAGTTCAACTCTGAGCTACAAACATTTTTTTCTATCAGACACGTGTGACTCGCAGAAGACTTCAGTTTGGCCCAGCACAGCTCCCTAAAGGCCAGAAATTAAAAAGGTTGATGTGATACAAAAGGAAAATGATTAAATCTGGGATTAATATTATTTGCTATGTTTAATTAATTAATATAAATTAATTAAATTAAATGTATTTCTTTCTGTAAACAGCTGTCAACATGCCTGTTATTTGATCACTACATGCCTATTCAGAAATAAAAAAATTATGAATATGATTACGTGTTTTCTTTTTTGGGGGGTGGGGGTGGGGGAAACTATATCTTATCAAACAAAGAAAGTTCTAGTAAATATGTGAAGGTATGAACTGTATGAATAGATCTGCACTGCAAGCTATTTAAAGCTGGGTCCAAGAAATAAAAATACTGAAAACTATAGTTCTAAATAATTTGAGAAAAGGAACTCACTCACCAAGAGTGCTCCTACCGTAACTACTGCTAAGTAGGTATTCTGCATGAACCAGCAATTTTATTGCTATAATATTTACTGTTAAATTAAAAACCCAGCCAAGATTCAGGGGGCTATCACACACAGCTGTAATGATTTGAAAACATTTTTCTCTACACTGCACCCTTCTGATGTATGAAATGAAACTCTTACTATGAAATCAAATCAGATAATATGCACACAATGCTTCTAATAACTCACATACCAGTTGGTAACATCTTAATTTGAGCTCATTTGATTGGAATATTATATAGAAGTTATTGAAAGACAGTAAAATGGACATCAACACTCTCATACCCTGCTCTAAGTTGTGACAGCAAGTTTAAATTTTTGAATTTAAACAAAATGTAAACAATGAAGGAAAAACCACTTTAAAACTGGCATGCTACTGACTTCTTAAAAGTCAGGATGCCTAGTCAAAATTAACCTGGAGGTAAATTTCTTATCGCTTTCTAAAAGAAGAAAATTCAGAAGCATAATAGATAAAAGGTTGTGAATTTCATAGCTGAGACAGAAAACTACAAATGGGCAAATATGAACTAGAAATGCACAACTCTCCCATAAGCCCTGCCAGATATTCATAATGAAATTATATTTAATTATTTGGGACAGAAAGAGAACATAGGCTATTTTTAAAAATGCTTTCACCAACATTACACCATAAAAAAATTTTTTGTAACAGTTCCTAGTGGCACAAGAAATCTCCATCAATATCTACCGTACCTCCAAGCAAACTTTTCTTTCACAGCAAAATAACTACAAGCAATAACTCTTTTCAGTTTTATGCCACCAGCCCAGTAAACAAAAATCAGAAAAGATATGTCCAAGATAGGAGCAGTAGGCTATACAGCAGGATTTAGGAGTTTGATTTTCTTCAAAAATCAATGATAAAATACTAAACTATCTGCAGGTATGCATGCATGCTAGGTAAATAGTGCCCTGTATACACAAACCAAATATTCATAAATATTTTACATGCAGGAGGGAGCAAACACAGACATAAGGGAACAACAATAAATGCACAAGAGTAGTATATACAGGCACTTTAGTTTGGTATGCATTCAAGATACAATTGATTATGACTTGCCTTTAAACTTAATCTTACTTAAGAGTGAACCTACCTACCATTTAAATTAATGAATTTAAATTACGGATGATTTAATATGAAAATGACTAATTTAAATCACACTGATTTCATATGATTCTACTGTATGATAGTTTGGTTCCAACCTAATTACATATCATCTAGGACCAGACAATGCCAGATCTGATTATAAAAAATGTGTACTATTTTTTTTTTTTGAAGGATTCTACTCTTCCTAATTTTTTTTGGAACATGCACTCAAGTGTTTTGCTATTTACAAGTTAAAGAAACTGAGTAGCTTCCTACCTTATTGTTGACTGTCAATAGTTCTCCACTGTTTTTTTTAAAGAAGCATTTCCTATGCTCCAACTTATTTTTCAAAGTTCAAGCTTCCTAATGTTCTCGATGCTACTAAACCTATGTTGCTTGGAATGGTGTTGCAATTTAAATCGACTCAGAACAGCTTTCTCTGATAGTTGTTTACATTTCCATGTTTCAGCATTCTCATTGGTTGGAGCAATACCTTCTCTCTGCCACATGTGTGATAGTTAAACAGGAAGTGGGGTGCTGAGGGGCTGTAAAAGGTTTCCTGTTGTACAGTCTGCAATATACGCATACATGCTTTGATACTCAGAAGAGTTCTGTTAAAACAATCACTAACGTAGAAGAAAGCAAACCAGAAGAAAATCTATTTTGTTTTAAAAAAGAAAATGAAACAGCACTGTAATTTTCCCACTGCAACAATGACCCAGCCACTCTCCCCAAAGAGAGATGAGAATGTTTATAGAACATATTTTTAAAATGTGCATATGTCCTGCAGAATGCTACTACTGAATTGTGGGATGTTTTGAGTCCATTCTGAGCAATGGGCATTGCTCAGATGATACAGTGTATGAGACTGGATAGGAAATATAGTGTAAGAAAATTGATTGAAACCAAGCCCAAATGGGTATTGGCAAATTTTAGCAAACGACGGATACAGAAGATCATCATTTTGTAGCTTTAAAAATGCACCCTTTGGAACTCCAGCTGTGTTTTTCACTTAGGGACATCAAATTATACTATCATGCACTATCTGGCAGACTCTGATCTGAATATACTGGTTCCTGGTTTTGAATATAAATGATCACTGCAGCTTTTGCCAAAAGTTATTTGAGTCTTTTCCCAAACCACAGCTGGCCCATACAGAACAAGGAAAGATGCTATCGTGCAGCACAGTCATTCCAATTCCGTAAACTCCCTTTAGGCTTTGGAGCCCAGCAAGTAACTGAAAAAGACAACCATCCTTTCTGCTCCAGCCTGCCTTCATATACAGAACATATAATTTTACAAAGGAGTGTTTCTTCCCTTCACCTTTATGTTAAAAACTTTTACATAAAAATATTAAAGATAGAGGAGCTTTGTCCCTCTGTGCCCTAGAGTATCATAAACAGCTGCTCAAAATAATCACTTCTTTGAATGACTGTGGGAGGTAAGTAACAGTATATTACTGGAATATTGCCACAGTTCTCTGCTATTTGCTCAATAATGTTGTTCTTTTCTATGGATATTTTCCAGGAACTCTGAACACACAAAGATGAGTGTACAGAGTAGGTGGGATGAGAGGCCATATACATAGGACTCTTCCTTGAAATAATACTTGAACTCTGGCCGCTATCAATGGGTAGAACACTATCCTGCTGCTGAACTATATACACTTACATAAGTTATATTTATGTAGCAAACATTTCAAAATACCATCCAACAATCAATGTTTCTTGTAACTTTCAAAAGATATCTCAAACTATGTATGAAAGCAAATGTATATTAGGGAGTTAGCAAAGTATAGTAGTTAAGAACTCAGAATCATAGGACAGGAAGGGACCGTGGGGGTCTTCTAGTTCAACCTCCTGCTCAAGACAAAAGTCTTGTACTATCCCAGCCAAAAGGTTCCAATCTATTTTTTAAAAACTCCAGTGATGGAGCACCCATAACCCCAGGAAGCATGTTATTCCATTGATTAATTGCTCTCACTTTCAGAAAAAAATTCCTTACTTTTAGGTTGCATCTCGCTTAGACAAGCTTCCACCCATTACTTCTTGTCCTGCCCTCTGTTGCTCTAGTCTAGAGAATAAGTCAATTCCCTTTTCTTTGTGACAGTCCTTCAAGAACTGAAAGACAGTTATCAGTTCTCCACTAATCCTTCTGTTTGATAGGCAAGACATACTTAGGTCCCTCAACTGTTCGTCATACGATTTAGCCTTCGGACCCTTTATCATCTTTGTTGCTCTTCTTTGCACACTTTTCAGGGTCTCAAAATCTTTTTGTATCATAGCGATCAGAACTGGATGCAATATTACAAGTGTGGTCTCACCTGTGTGGTGTAAAGCAGTACTATCACTTCTTGTTGTCTTGACACTATCCCTAGGACTGCATTGGTTTTTTTGGCAGCTGCAGCAAACTGCTGGTTTATACTTAAATGATCGTCTATTGGGACACCTAGATCCCATTTACTACTGTTTCCACTATTCAGCTAGGTACCACATATCCTACATCTGTGCATTTGGTTTTTCCTGATCAAATTATATTGCATTCTCAACCATAGAAGCTCCCTGGGTGATTTTGGGCCAGCCTGTCTGGCTGTCTGTCTGGCTGTCTGTCTGTCTCTCTCTCTCTCTCTCAGCCCAAGCCTATAGAATTGTTATGGGCAACAAAATAGGAAGAAGAGCTATATATGCCACCTCCTAAACAAAATTCATAAACAAAAGGTGGGCTATACACCTAATGTATAGTTTAAGTAATAGCCAGTAACAATTGTTGATAGTGGTGGGATTCGATCAGACTCAAAGGATCCATTAAGTACTGTACATGAAAAGTAAAAATCTATAGCACAGAAAAAACATAAGCTGCCTCTTATAAGACCTGTCTGGATCTTTTGGCATACAACGTGAAGAAAAGTCATGATGTAAGGAAAGGGAGTTCAAAGAAATTTTGCTTCTGTTTATGTGAAATGGATAAGGAGAATTTTATTGGGTTCTTGGTGCTCTCTGAGCTTGTTTTCTTGCAGACCTTTCATGACCAGACTATGTAACATCAGAGTGATGAAGAGTGGGGTTTGCTGGGTACTCATTTTGGACTAAATAAATACTAGCACACAAATGATAACTTCAAGAATCAATTAGAACAAACTATAACTCCAGAACACATAAATATGCTGATAAACACCATCAATATTACATCTCTAAGACAAACTAAAAAAACTGAACCAAACCAGTCTTGGAAGCAGCATTCAAAAGAACAGGACTGACCAAAGACACTAAGAAAACATAATACACATTTTTTGAGGTAGTGGGATGTAGAAACAATGGTAGTGTGGCAGTGTCCTTGTGTTCTTCTTATACATGGATGAAGCCATATTTTATCATAGCCACGGTGCTCTAATGTAGCTTAAAAACTGGAAGTTTTTAAGAAGAGACTGGACAGCCATTTGTCCGAAATGATATAGGGTTTCCTGCCTGAGCAGGGGGTTGGACTAGATGACCTCCAAGGTCCCTTCCAACTTTACTACTACTACTACTACTACTACTACTACTACTACTACTACTACTACTACTACTAATAATAATAATAATAATAATAATAATAATAATAATAATAATAATAATAATATAGTTAATATTTAAATGTAACAGATGAATATAGCAAATAACTTTTAAAAATTGAATTCATCTGGAATTAAATTAGATTTAATATGGCACAAGCTTGTGAAGCTACCTTCTCACAAACGTTATTATCCTCATTATTATCCTAGTATGCTTATAAATGTGTTTGAGCTTTGCATTGACATTTCACAATAGTGTATTTCGAAGGTAATGTTTCGTTGAGACCACTGTTTACAACCGCGCCTCCCCAGGACAGATAATACTTCAGGAATCAAATGGCTAGTTTAGCAATAACAATTATCGATCAAATCAAGTATTCAAGACACCGGTTACAGCTTTTCCTAAATCTACGGTCCGTTACTGAGCTTTCTCAACCGGCGTTTTTAAGGACTAAGAGTTATCACACCTCAATTCCCTGTAGGACCTAAAATACATTTTCAGTCCGCCTTCTACATCTCGAAACTGCAAGTTCCACAAGACACTGCGCAGCGGCGCATGCTCATTTATACGCTTATGAATCCAAGATGGCAGACCCGGGGACTGGTGGGTCCAGTACCTTTATCACGGTAAGGATGGATCCAGGAAAACGGATTTCTTTTTGTGGTACATTAATCAAGTTGCGTTCGTGTGATCTGGCAGCCTTCTCGGACTCAACTCGCAGCGTCTCGGTTGGGACGGCGCGAGGTTCCGAGCAGGGGGGATTTTTGTTCTGGCACAGAATCTCTAGAGGCGAACACTTTATGATTTGCGGAATCCTTTGATTCTGATTGGCTCCAGAAACTGTCTATCCACCTTTCAAACGTTTCCGAATTGAGGGACGGAATTAAATTGTTCGGTAGGTTTCCACGAATGTCTATACAAAACGCGTGATAAACGCCTGGCATGTACGAGGCATCCCAAACATGCACACAGACATCTGACATCGGCACAAGCATGTTTAGGAAGCCAAAATTTAAAATCCATATATTTCCTTTTCCCCTTTTATTTTACTAGCTCTTTACACAAGCATTATCCACCTGGTATCTTCCCAGAAGGGAAGATTATCAATGTGCAACAGTTATTTTATTCCTAAAATTAAGGAGGGATCTCTCTTTGAGCGAAAATACTGCTAGATTTAAAGCTGTCCTATGGCAATGCAAGCTCTGCCCCTTTCATGCGTGTGTGCCACTTCCTGATGCATGTCCAAAAAAGATGAAATTAGGTTTAGTGCAGGCAGTTCCTTTTGGCACAACCCATAAATCAATCACAGTATTTTTATTTTATTCAGAGAAAATTACTATACTTAGGAATGTTTAAAGGTCATGGGTCAAATAAGTAAGGGAGTGTTTAAAAGAAAATGGAAACCAATTCAAACATTTATTGTAATTTGGATAATTATGGGATCAAACTTTTGGTACACCCTGCATATATCAGCATTTAGGAGATGGTAAAAAAGTGATGACATATGATTGCACCCTGCACCCTCTAAACTAAAAATAAATATTTTGCTGAGCCTGCAAATTTACCATGTAAGATCAGAAAAAAAAAAAGCTCGAACAGGTACAGAGGAGGTGTCCAGGATGGGTTCAAAGGATCTCTGACATCTTTGAATCTAAATACTGTACATTGCCAATGTGTCTCCTTGAAACGTTTTTTAAAGTGCGTCCTCCATCAGCAGAGTTGTCATAGTGTTCTGTTCTAGTGAATAAACTGTGTAGATGGATAATTTGTGTAACCTCCTAGAGCAGGGGTTCCCAACTGGGGATGCGAGACAATATTCCAGGGGGTGCAAAAACATGGGCTTTCAAAATTATAGTGTATATGCATAATTTGTTGCCGTTATTTTGTACTTTGTAAGGGGTGTGAGAATATATCAGAAGCGTTCTAGGGGTGCGGGGTATAGAAAAAGTTGGGAGCTGCTGTCCTAGAGTAATCGGTCACCTGAACTTGATATTAAAAGAGGAAAACAATGCATATTGTAGCAATATTATTTTTATGTCAGGGTTCATGAATTAGTAGGAGGGAGCATTTTTCAGGGTTAAATAAGGTTCTGCTATCTCCAAATGGTATATTAATTAATAATTTGTAATTGATTTTTATTTTTAATTGTACATTGTATAAACAGTTCAGAATATCTGAAATTTGAGTGGTGTATAAATTATATAGACAATTTTTTAGTTATGGTTACTGAAAAGTGGATTGTGAAGAGAATGCTAGAAGTAGTTTGGGAGCACCTTTTCTGACTAACAAAACTTTAGTTAGAAACTCCTGATTTTTTGCTATTCAGACTATGGTTTACTGCTGTTCACATGTAGCAGTAAACCATAGTTGCTTTGCAGGAGGATTGGGTTAATGGGATGTGTAAAATACACACATAATGGCTTAATATTATGAGCAAATTAATCCATTCTGTCTTGTTTTAGCAAATCATACTGAAAAATTCTACTTTAGTGTAATGTGTAAATCAGCTCCTGTATGGACTTTTGTAGACTCTTTGGTTAATAACAAAAATCACTCAATAATTACCCTTGTCATTTTCTGCATTTTTTGTTTTCTTTTTTCATTCACTCTGTTTTACCTGGTTTCTCTTTCAATAGCGATCAGGTAGTAAACATTCTACAACCCCAGCGGATAATTACTATCTGGCTCGAAGAAGGACTCTCCAGGTAGTAGTTAGTTCATTGTTGACAGAGGCTGGATTTGAGAGTGCTGAGAAAGCTGCTGTAGAAACCATGACAGAGATGCTTCAGAGCTGTGAGTATTCCCAATTATATAATGGCTTCAATAATAACTTTTCCTCTGTATAATCCATTAATTATCCCAAAGATGCTTTTTCACAAGGCAAGTGGACTTTCTTGTTTTCTTTGGAGACATTTCGCTTCTCATCCAAGAAGCTTTTTCAGCTCTGACTGGATGGTGGGAAATGGAAAGATTTATACTCCTACAGACAGCTGTTCATTCTTTTAGCGAAGTTAAAGTTGCCTAGAGGCTTATCTATGTCTTAGGGTCACCTGAGTAGTGCAAATAGGTGTGGAGCCTTCTTGGAACTGTTGAAAGGACTGTGTTGTAGACTGGAGATAGATGATATCAGATCCCTCACCCTCTGTTGAGAGAGGGCTGTTCAATTTTGACATAGATGGCCTCTTTCAAACCAGCAGTCCTCTCTGTCCAAAATGTAGACTTTGTTATTTTCGAAAGAGTGGCCTTTATCTTTTAAATGCAGATGGACTGCTACCTCTTGTCCTGATGGGTTTGTTCTCCTATGTTGTGCCATACGTTTATGAAGTTGATGTTTCGTTTCCCCAATGTACAGATCTGCACATGGCTCACTGCATTGTACTGCATATACCATGTTGTTCAGTTTGTGTCTGGGTTTTTTGTTTTTGGGGTGGACAAGCTTCTGCCTTAGTGTATTCTTATGTTTGAAGTGTGCACGTATGTTGTGTTGGTTGAAGATCCTCCTGAGCTTTTCTGACTGAGAATCTCCATAGACAAAATCCATTAGTGTTTGAGAAAACAATTACCAAAAACTGAGTGAATAGCAAAAACACAGGCACTTCCATTCTCTGCAAGTTCTGTTTATTTTGAAGTGTCTTGAAAGGATTTAGCAGTGTTGGCTACAGCTTCTGTGATTTTTCCCAAACTAGGAACACAGTTCTACATAGGAAGGCAGACAAGGCATATGAGAAGAAGACTGAGCAATCTTCCTATTTCATCTTGTGTTGGCTATTCTGTCAAAACTTATTTTGAAAAACTCAGATTCTTTGGTCAGTTTCTTGTCATTATTTAAAGAAAGGAATTGCTGAGATGTTCTTTTGCCTCATAGATCCCTCAGAAAAATAAACTTAAGCATCTGGTTTACATTTGTGTTTGTTGGTGGCAAATGGATACTGGGAATTCGTTCTTACAAATGTTCAGTGTACATATTTTTGGGATTTGTAATAGTAGGAATGGTTTTTGCCATTTAGCAGCAACATTAATTGTTGTAGCCTTGCTGAATATAGAATATAGAATGGAGCTTCTTGATTGATTTTACTATTTTTATAGAATTATTACCATTTTTAATTACAAACAAAAATACTTATGAATAATCTTGGAATCCATTGCTTGCTTTAATTTTCAATTTAATTCAATTTACAATTTAATTTGTGAGATCATAGGAACATTTCTGATACATATCACACCAAAAGATTATTTAGTCCAGAATTCTGTTTCCTATTGGGCCAACTAGATAGCCTGTTAACTGAAGTTGACTCCTGCTCTGGTTCCTTAGGAACTAGTATTTAGAAGCTTGATGCCTCTGATTGTTAAGATGATATATAACCATTGTGATTAGCATCTATTGATTACCTCATCCTCTGTGAATTTGTTCAAGTTGCAAAATTTCCCAAACTGGTAGAAATCATTACATTTTAAGAAACAAATTCTAGACCATGTATAAAATATTTCCTTTTATCTATCAGGTAGTATACAAATTTAAATAATAATGTTAATAATTTTGGTTGTTCCTCCATATCTTTTCCAAGTCTATAGTGCTGTTTAACTGCAGCAACCAGACCTATATTCAGAATTTCAAGTATAGAAATGCTGTGAAATAGTTTTATATCTGATCTTTTTTGAAATTGTATCTTAAATATTTCACAACTTCTTCTTTATTCCATTTTTATTATTTATAAATAACTCAATGAGACGAATATCCCAATGTGCCTTCCTCCTCCTATTCTCCCCAAACAACAACCCTGTGATGTAAGTTGGACTGAGAGAGAGTGACTGGCCCAAAGCCAGCTACACAGCCGGCTTGTAAAGTTAAGGCAGGATTAGAATTTACAGTCTCCTGCTTTCTAGCCTAGTGCCTTAACCACAAGACCAAATTGGCTTTTCAGAGATTTAGTTTCCTTAATTCAGAATTGGGCTGATGTTGAACAGGTAAGTGATTCTAGGTTTCAAATCTAAGTCCTGCATTGAACTCTCTTTTGCAGATATTTCCGAAATAGGGAGGAGTGCCAAGTCTTTTTGTGAACATACTGCAAGGACGCAGCCAACCCTTTCAGATATTGTGGTCACCTTAGTCGAAATGGGTAAGTGCCAAGATGGTGGGTTTATTTTCACGTTCCTGTGCTGTAGGTGCGGGAGTAGATTTGTAACTATGGTGATTGATATGTCTTATCTACAGAGGATTTACATTTGGCTTCTTCAAAATGAATCCTAGATTTACTGAATCAAATCATGAAGAGACTAGCAACCAGAGAATTTTATGGAGGTTTGGGATGCCTTTCTTCACTCTGAGGTCTTTGAGTGCCCCTCTAGTCCAGCCATTTGTCCTCTTTTCTGAGCAGGAGAGCGGAATTATGCTTATATAGGGCTTTGGAGAGACAATGTATGTCTTGCAGTATAACGTTCAATGTAAATACTTATGCAGTAATATCCAGGATGAAGTAAGTTGTCTTACACATATTTTTCTGTGACCTGACAAAAGTGAGAACAAAATACCTGAGTGTAGTTCATGTGCTCATGGATGTTATGTCAGAGCAGCTGAAGACAACACAATCCTTTTTCAGTTTTGTTTTTTTTACAGACAGATCCTATTTTGTAGTTGACTGGGAGGAGGCTTCGTGGTATCCGTAGCAGAACATCCAGATTCAGCCATAGTTTCATTCCATACAGCATTAACCTTGTGAACTCTCAAGCTTCCTCCTTCCGTTATATATTCAAGTTGGACAGTATTTAATATTTATTTGTTACTAGCTGTACCCGGCCACGCGTTGCTGTGGCTCAGTCTGGTTAAATGGAAAAGAAAGAAAAGAGAAAGCGCACGTTTGTAATATGTTTAATTTCACAATGCTTGTGGGTATACAATATTTTTGTTGTTCCATTGTCTGTGCAGATATATGCGTGTGTTGCTTTTACGTCCAACAGATGGCACTGTTTTTCAAAAAACATGTTTTTACCTGTCACAAGTGTGATATCTATATAATAGTAGGTATATAAAAACACACGCGTATTCGAATGCAACGTTGTGTCAAAATTTCAAAGCAATCGGTGAAGAACTTTCAGAGATTTAAGATTTTGAACAAACGAACATTTTCATTTTTATTTATATAGATGTATATGTAGGGGTGTGGGTCTATACATATGTTGTACATAGTATGTTTAGGTGTGTGTCATGTATGTGTTTCACTTTGAGAGCGGGCAACTAAATTTCATTTTTGATGTGTGCCGTTGTGCCCACCATAAAAAAATGACAATAAAGGTTATCTTACCTTACCTTACCTTACCTTACCGTCTCGTCTCGTCTTATAAATATGATTGACTGTATTCTTAGGAGATGCATATCAACTTGTCAGAACAGAATGATATATTTGGATATATTCTTGTTCTACTGTCCTGGGTCCTCTGTAGAACTCTGTAGAGCAATGTTTCCTAACTGGGCAATTTCCAAGTAGATTGACTTCAATTCCCAGAATTATCCAGCTAGTACAGCCATTGCTAAGAATCCTGGGAGTTGAAGTGTACAAACTGGAAGTTCCCCAGGTTGGGAAATACTGTGGTAGAATCAAGAGAAGGGAATAGATTGAATACTGCTATGTGTTCCCTCAGCCCAACTAGTGCATCTGAATTTAATTAATTTCAAATGCATTCTGGATCTGACTTGCTAAAATGCTTTTTCTTTTTGTATATTCTAGGCTTTAATGTTGAGATGCTCCCTGCGTATGCTAAACGCTCCCAACGGATGGTGATCACTGCACGTATGTAAGCTGTTTTCCAGTATGCTGTTATTTCTTTGTGTATTTCCTGAAAAGGAGTGCAATGCATTAGTTCAAAAGTATGTTTAGGTGATTTAGAATTGTGCTAATTTCTCTTTAATATGGTATTGTATTCTCAAAGGTAAGAATAATTTCTATAGCATGCATACACATTAAAAATATTTTATGTACCTTTTTTTCTGTTTGGAAGCCTGTTTTTCTTGGAATCTCCCTTTTTAGCTATTTACATAGAATGAAAGGTTAGCCTACCTGATTTATGTCTGTTGTACATTATATGGCTTTTCAAGCGATTGCATTAACAATCTTTTATTAAAAGTTTCTGTGGTACTCTTAAGCAATACATATCTGCAATTTTAAGCAGATTTAATGTCAACCAAACGTCTGTTGAAATCAGTAGTTAAAGGAGCATCTGGCAGACCTTTAAGAATCTCTCATTGAAATCAGAGTGTCAATATCTGGAATGGACTATTTATGCTGATTCAGGGCTGATAGTAGGTGAGGGCTGATCCCATTTTTAGAATATTCCATTTTTAACAGCCATTAGAGGACCTCTGTCCTTTGTTTAGAAGATATAGCTGTGCCCCATACTGATCATCTACCATGCCAACTGAGGAATTTAGAATGGCGCTATTGAGTCCTGAATATGAACTGCTTTTATATGGATCTTGTTATCCTTTTTCTTACCCATGTTCCTTGTTATTAAACTTGAGAGCAAGGAAAAATGTAGCTGATGGCATTGGATTGATGATCAATGGAAAAGAGGAAGACAGTTCAGCGTAAAAGTTTCTGTAGTTTTGATGGATTCCGATTTGTTAACATGTGTTATTTCAGGTGTTAAATATTTTGCTTTTTCATGTTATGCTTCCTGAACAATGTTCTTTCAACTATTTGTCTGAACAAGTTGTCATATTAGATGGCAGAGCCATTGCATTATCTTTCTTTTCAACTTGACTGATAGCATTGTGGTAGAATTTTCATCATCAAATTTCCATTTTCAATTGCAGCACCTGTAACAAATCAGCCTGTGGCCCCAAAAGCCCTGACAGCCGGACAGAACAAGCCTCATCCTTCTCATATCCCTGGCCATTTCCCAGAGTTTCCAGATCCTCATACTTATATCAAAACACCAGTAAGTCTTACATAAAACAGTCATAAAGTATGGTTAAAAAATACATAAAGTGATACAAGACTATATACAGTAGAAATTTTCCTGTAGTGTTAAATGTATGGTTGTATATTTCAGTTTCCTAGAATAGAAACTTTTTTCTGCTATTTTTGGAAGACGTGCTATGAATAAAAAGCTTTGATTCTCCATTAGATGTGCATGAGTGATTGGTTCTCTCTCCCCCCCCAGTAAGTGGGAGAAATGCATGTGATAAGTTAATGCACAGTACTTATTTCTGTTTTCCCTTCCTTTGCCTACAGACATATCGGGAGCCTGTATTGGATTATCAGATCTTACGAGAAAAAGCTGCTTCACAGAGACGAGATGTTGAAAGAGCTTTGACCCGCTTCATGGCAAAAACTGGAGAGACACAAAGTCTTTTCAAAGATGATGTCAGCACTTTTCCTTGTAAGAGCTGTCTAAGCTGCAATTGGTGGTGGGGGGAGATAAATTGTTTCAATAGGATGCTTAGTGCTTAGGATCAAAGGCAGGAAACTTTTTTTGGAGCTGAGAGTCATCTATATAGATTTTTGAGATGATGATGCTAGTGGAGATAGTGGGGATTAAAATATTTGGAAGGTTTTCTTTTGTGTGTGTTTTGGGATGTGGTTTTTTTTAAAATGTAAAATATGCTTACTAAGTCTAGCAGAGCGTGTTTGGTCTAGATAGAAATTAAGGTGCTGGACCAGGAGTGGGGATACCTGAGTTCCAGCATTGACTTTAGCATGGAAACCATCTACACGTCAACCACCTCCAATGTAGCTGGAAGGTTTAGGTTCTTCTGGAAGGTCAGGAGTATTGGGGGCAGATCTCACCTGTGATGGGAGAATATTCCAGAGGGTGGTGGCAACAGCAGAAACCATCTTCTCCTGGACCCCGCCAGCTGAAATTCTTTGGCTGATAGTAGGCCCTTTCTGTTGCAACAAGTGGGGCAGGTTAATCCCATTGGGGTAAGGTGGTTCCTCAGATACCTTGGACCCAGGCCATAAAGAGCTTTAAAGGTGATAACCAACACTTTGAATTGGACCCAGAAGGCAAATAGGCAGTGAGTGCAGCTCACATAACAGCAGTGTCACATGTGCCACCTGAGGGGTCTCTAAAACTGTCTGTGCCACTGTGTTCTGTACCAGTTGTAGCTTCCAAATACTCTTCAAGGGTAGCCCCATGTAGAGCATGTGCAGTAATCCCACTGTTGAGAGATGTTCAACAATAACATCCATTACACACAAAGTTGCAGTATATCTCTTCACAGCTTGTATGGTAGTAGATGATCTGAAATAATCTGCTTCTTTCTTCGTAAAACCAACTTTACTCCTATGCTTCTTATATGTTAGGCTGATTACCTGAGAGAAGAATCTGTAATCACTTTTTTCTGTCTGGTTTCTAAAATCATTTCTCCATTATCTTCAGTGATAGCTGCCAGGCCTTTTATAATACCCTACCTGACAGCTCTGCTTCCTTCTGAATTGGAGATGCAGCAGATGGAAGAGACTGATTCGTCTGAACAAGATGACCAGACAGACACAGAGAACCTCGCTCTACAGATGAGCATGGTAGAACTCAAGATATTTTGCTTAATTCAGTGTAATATAAGCTCTAAATTTCTGGAAATTCTATATTGAACACAGCCACCTTGTAAATGAAATTTGTGGATCAAGTCCAAATTTGCTAGATAATTCTACGTGCAAAAAATGCTTAAAAAGTTAGAAGAATTTTGGAGCAAGCCTGCCACATGGCAGTGTGGTTTTCCTCTGTGTAATATGTCCTTCTCTGCTTTGGGGCAGCTTTTGCATCTACTGAAGAATGAACCTGTGTAAGAGAAGAGAAATGTAGTAAGGAAGAGGAAACATGCCCTTGGTTTTGATTGGAATAGACTAATGTTGCTGCAGTCTGATCCAGGTTTATACTGATGATAGATGAGAGCTATGTTTCCATCTTCATTTGGCAGGAATCTGGCATGTGGGTTAATAGGTGAATTAGGTTGATTAAACAATTAAACATATAGCATTGCAAGATAGGGATTGCTGGTTCAGTTATTTGAGAAAGAGAATGTCTATTCTCCATCTCCCTTAGTAGTTGGGTAAGCTTTGCCTATGGCAATATCATCCATCAGCAGAATCTATCTAATTAAATGTTAAAGTGGCAAAATATCCATTTAAAAATAAATGATGCCAAATCATCTGCAGTCAGAGTAACACAACCTCAAAAATACATAATAAGCAGACCCTAGATTATTGCATGAGTTATCTCATTTTACCCTCTTCCTCAACAGCAGCTTTTTAATCCTAAAAAGTGAACTTCATCAATGCTTAGTCTTATACTACTTTAATTCCAGAATGTCCCCCCCCCCCCCATTATTCAGCAGAGGGCACCCTGTTCTCTGGGATGTACCAGAATTGTGTGCCTGTTGCACGGGGTCCTGTATATCTGTTTCTATTCTGTCTTGGTTTTTCTCGTGGATACTGATTTTTCAATTTTGAATCTCATATTTACTTTATGTCTTATCTGCCAGGATGACTCAGGAGCTGAGAAGGAGAATGCATCAGTACTTCAGCACAATACCTCCCTTTCTGGCAGTCGAAATGGAGACGAGAACTTGATAGACAATCCTTACCTCCGCCCAGTGAAGAAGCCCAAGATTCGTAGGAAGAAGTGAACAAATCGATGGAGCAGAGTAAAGAAGGAACAGCTTCTCGTGATTTCTGCATAGTTAAGACAGGGCACTTCTGCACAGTTAAGATAGGGCACTGGGAAGGCAGAAGAACCCTCCTGGTTAAGAGCCGTGGAAATACTGGACTCCCCAGTTGCTATTTTCTTCATCTCCAACAATTTGTGATAATTTAAGGTGAAATCTGAAAGAATGGCTTAGAAGCACTAATGGCTACATGGATTGAAATTTGTCTCTGCCTAAGAATAGCATACTGCTAGCTTCCAGTTGTTGCTGCAGCTCTTCATCCTCAGGAGAATCTTCTTTCCAAGAATCGCAGATGGATCAGTAGGGGGCACTGCAGAGGTTTGTCCTCCCATTTTGCCAAGTACAGAATTCCAGAACTGGAATTCCTTCTTGTTTTCTAGCTCTTTGGTTTCGAGTCATCCCACATTGTTGAATACAATTTTCCTGGGGTAAAAGTGGCCTCTGGTGCCAACTGGATGTCTACTGTTGTGCCTTTAAAAACTGAGGCTGTTCAGAGCTACTCAGCTGACTATTTTTCAAGATCTAGAAACATCTGAAATGGAAGGTTTGGACTAATCCTTTCTCTAGCATGAGCTATTGGGAGAGGAAAGAAGGTGAAAGTGTTGTCCAGGTGTAGACACAAGGTTGATAGCACATTTATCAATGGCAGAGTTTAAGAATAATTTCTGCAAGTGCATTTATAATTCAACACATTGACTGTAACTTTTCTGTCTGGCTTCATATGGCCCCCCCAGAGTATTTTGTTTTGATGCTTGAGTTTTTGTAAGTTTGTATTTTCTGTAATTTGTCAGTAGAATTATTTTATATCCATCTCTTATTTCCAATACTTTTCTATAAAGCAAGGTGCATATACAAAACTGAACTTTCAGGAATCCCATTTGCTATCTCATTTGTTAAATCAGAAATGTCCTTTTTTAAAAATGGCTTTTAGAAAATGCCTTTTCTATAGGGAGCAAAAGAAGTAGTGGGTACAGGAGATACGTTTTCCCTTCATTCTAAAATGGCAGCAACTGCATTTCATTGAAAAGTTTTTAAGTGTTGATTTTCCAGCAACTGGTACTTGTGGTCCGGGAGTTTTGGGGGTTTCAGCTTTAGTCTTCACATTTACAAAAGTATACAGAAACAGCTCTGTTACTGGCTTTTACTGGCTGATAAACCTTGTGGCCCATCAAGGTTTTCTGCTATTTCCCTGATTGAAATGTGAGATGTATACTTAATTAAGGAAAATATCATGACTTCTGTCATATTGCAGTGTTCTTCAAAGCATGTTTTACCTCTGAAATGAAGGGACCATTCCTTATTCTGTTTCCTCTTAGTGCTCTGATTTTTCAGCACTGGGGTTGGTGGTGATGTGGGGGCATTGATTAAAATCTCAGTAAAGAAATTTAGATTTCTACTGACCATGTGTGTGTTTGTATCTGCTCTCAAAAATAAAATAATATTCTCTTATACATTTAAACTATCAAGATTCTGAAAGATTTTTTTTAAAAAAAAAAATCAAATGCTGGAGAAAAAATTTGTTCTGAGCCAACAAAGGCTGCTACACTCCGTTTAGATACAGTTACAGATTATAAGCATACGATATATACACTGTATCTAAACAACTTTATATAATTCATATAGATATAAATTATATGCATATTAAATAATATAGGGGGTTGGACTAGATGACCTCCAATGTTCCTTCCAACATCATCATCATCATCATCATCATCATCATCATTATTGGCTTGAGTCGGAAAAAATATCCCTAGTTTCTGATTGAACAGAAGAATAAAGAGAAAAACTTCAGATCAACTGACTCTGAAAGGGGAAACCAGAATAACAACGTGGCCTAAAATCACCCATCTCTGCTCATGCCTTTCACTTCCAAATTATTCCACCTCTCAGATTATTTATGCTGGCTGAGGAATTCTGGGAGGTAAAGTCCACAAGTCTGAAAGTTGTCAAGGTTGCAGACCCCTGATTTAAAAGATTATCCTTGCTGTGTTTTGTTCTAGTCTGTCTGTCTGAAGCAATTTTTGCCTGTCTTTGAATTGTTTTTTGTTTCAAACCTGTGAAAACTCAAGTTAATACTAATTTTAATTATAGTTGGTATAACAAAGACATTAATCTCCAGATATAATGTGAATTGCAGATTGTCCAGTGTAAGACAAATGGCAGGGAATCATTTGGGAGATATTCTTAACCAGATTCATGACTATTGTACTTTGTTTGCAGTATACTCTTGAACTGCAAATGTGAATTGTAACAGTTATCTGCGTACTATACTAAAACTCTCCTGACCTTTTAAGTGTCCCAAAGAGTGCAGTTTTTTCAACTACCGTACTTCAAATGCAGAATGTGTATAAAATCCAGGGTCCACAACTTCCAAGAGAATGAAATTTGGGGAAGTTGTGGCTGCTTCATGCTATTGTCTGCTGTTGGGAGGTCACATGATTTTCATTTTCAACTTTCCAAGCCAGTTTTGCAATCTCTTGCTCCCTCCCCCACCCAACTTGGCTGCTGGAAAGGAAAGGGAAAGAAGGGCCAAATAACGAGGAAGGAACCCCTTGCACACCCTTCCCAGCCCATGCTACCCCCCTGCATGTTCCCCCAGCGTGTTCTGCCCCTTGCACGCTTTCCCTGACCTCCACTGCCCCCTCCACACCCTCCCTGATCCATTATGGGCCTCTTAGGCATCGCCATGCAACTTTTCTGCCCCCATGACTCTTCCCTGGCCTGCCTGACACCTCTTGTGCACCCTAGGCACTCTTCCTGGCCCATGCAGCCCCTTCAGCACTTGCAGCCCCACCCAAATGCTGTCTCTAATTTGTACAGCATCTTTTGCAGAATCCCAAGCATCCCCAGGCACCCTTCCCAATCCATGCCATCCCCCTGTTGCACCATTTCCAACTGGTGCAGCGCCTCTCACACACCCCTATGTCCCCCCATTCATTTCTCTTGACCAGTACAGCCTCCTGTGTTTCCTATTTGATTTGCAGGGCACCTCTCATCCTCGTGACCCCCCCCCCCATCCTTCTTTGAGAGTCCGGCAACCTGAAAAAATAAAATATGCACAAAAACAATAAATTCCAATTTTGTGCTAAGTAATTTAGTCCTGTACCAAAACTTATTAAATGTTTGCATATCACGCTTTTGTTCCATTTGCATACTTCACTAACCTAATTAGGTCGTGTTATGGAGGATGGTAAGATCTTGTCCAACTTAGTACACGATGCAACTAAGCCCATTTACGTCAAGTATGTTTATGTAACATGTTACTCTTCACACAGGAATGTTTTCTTGAGATTATACTAAATGTGAAATATTGGAAGCATTTCTGTTTACAGAAGACCAGTATCTAAACCTTAGAACAATAACTGCTTTTGCTTTGCAGGAATGAAAGAAATGAAGAAAGAAACTCCTTTATCCGCTACCTTTTATGCAGAAACACATCAGGTGTTTGAAAGGTCATCTAATGGCAACAAGAGATCATAGAATCATAGACCTTGGGGTTTTTTTAGTCCATCTCCCCCCCACCTAAGGCAGGAGTCCTTAAACCATTCCGGACAAATGGACATTTAATCTTTTCTTGAAAACTTCCAGCTCTTGGAGCCAAGCTGTTCCATTGATTAATTCCTCTCACTGTCAGGATTTCTCTTATGAGCTTTCTACCTGTTACTTCCTGTCCTGCTATTAGGTGCAATGGAGAATAAGTCAACCCTCTCATGCCTGTGACGGCCCTTCAAGTACCAGAAGATAGCTATCACGTCACCCCTAATCCTCTTCCTAATACCTAATTCCCTTAACCATTCATAATACAATTTAGTCTTCAGACCTCTTATCATTTTTGTTGCTCTTCTCTGCACTTTTTCTAAGGTCTCAGCATCTTTTTTGTATCATGGTGACCAGAACCGGACACAATATTCCAAGTCTCACTAGTGCAATATGGAGTAGTACTATTACTTGTCATGACCTTGATGCTATTATCCCTCTGTTGACACAGTCTAAGACTACATTGGCTTTTTTGGCAACTGCAGCACACTGCTGGCTCATGCGTAAATGATAAGCCACTAGGACACCTAGATCCCTCTGAGAGATACTATTGTTGAGCCAAGTACTGCCTATATAATCTTTTCTGCATCAAAAGCAGCTCTTTGAGCATTCATTGAACAAAATTTATGGACTGTGGACTCTAGCCAATTGATGGTTCATGCCTGATCCACCAGCAGCAAAATGTGTGTGCTCATTCTTCTCCTATGTGATTACTAGTTATATTCTTTGCTTTTCCTTTCTGAAAGAAGTCCACTGCAATTGATTTTAGTTGCAAGAAATCTGGAATCTAGCTCTGGGTATTGATCAAAGATTATAGGAGTTTTCACCAATTTCTTCTTAATAAGCCCATACATTTAACTAATCTCAGAATAATCATGAGGACAATAAACATTTGATGGTGCTTATTCAAAATACTCTTGAATATGTCTTATTTTGAAAAAAGCAAGGGCATCAGCCACCATATGATTGAAGTCTTGCTTCTTTCTTATGTAATCAGTGCATTGCTCCCATCTTTGTGGACATACAATTTGGTAGGCTGTCTGTTACCTGCCATCCTGAGTTCACAGTTCATTCTGGGGACAAAGCCAGAAGTTGCTTGGGGTAAGGACAAAGCCAAAAAAACATGTTCAGTAGTGTGGTAGCATGACTATTTACATTTTCCAGAACAGATAAAAACTTTTTGCATCAAAATTGATTCATTTGCTATAGTTAGGAGCCATATTATGGATAGGAGCTGTTATTATGAAACTCCAGAAAATGACAGCATAATTATCAATGGAGGAAATTTTACAAGTAAAAACAAATCCCATAGTGAACAATAGGCTTAGCCATATTTGAGCACCATACACAGGTTAGTTATTTTGCCTGAGAGACTGCCCCCATTATCAAAATATAATTTCAGATATTATAGTAAATGTTGATTATCCACCATCTTTCTCTATTATCCTCATCCATATTTTGAACTCCCAAGGAAAAGACCTTTATATATTCTTTCCCCTCATCTCCTCCTCCTTTCTCTTTCTGGTTTTGTTTCTAGATTTTTTTGTTTTAAGTTTATGTCTGCATATTCTGTGAAAATATTGTTTCTGCTGAGACCTCCAAAGTAATACCTTTCATTTTATTTATTTATTTGTTTGTTTGTTTGTTTGCTGCCGAAGTTGTTTTGAAGTGACACTGTTCATAGATATTTTCTGCTTAGAATCACAGAATCATAGGGTTGGAAGGGACCATAAATCTAACATCAAATCTAGGACAGGAATTCTTAGACCTTCCTGTTCAAACTTCCTGTTCAACAGTTGTTTGAAAACAAGAAAATTCCTCATTCTGAGTTTGAATCTCTCTGTGTAAAACTTCCACTTATTGATTCTTATCTCACCCTTGACCTCTACAGGGATTAAATCCACACCGTCTTCCTTGTGACCATCCTCTTAGAATACCGGAAGACTGTTATCAAGTCTCCCTTTAGCCTTCCCGTCTTTAAGCTTTACATGCCAAATTCCTTTAACTATTGTTCTTCATAGGATTTAATCTCCAAGCCCCTCATCAACTTTATTCTTCTTCTCTATAATCTTTCCAGTTGTCCAGCATCCTTCTTATATTGTGATGTCCAAAACTGAATACAGTATTCTAGGTGGAGATGCAGTCTGACCAGTACAGTGTAGAGCAAAATTATCCTGTCATCTCCATGTTAGCTCTCTTTGATGTAGCCCCAAACTGCATTAGCTGTTTTGGCAGCTGTAGCATACTGTTGCCTCATGCTTAATTTGTGGTCTGCCAGGACTCTCGGATCTTTCTCAAAAGTACTATCAACTTAGGTATAAAACCTTATATTTATATTTGTCACCACTGAACACTTTTTATTGAATTCAGCCCAATATTCAAGCCTATCAAGATCCTTTTGAATCTTGACTTTGTCTTCTGAGGTGTTAGCAGTACCAACTCCCAGCAATGTATCATCTGCAAATTTGCTGATATCTCTTTTATATTCTTATCTAAGTTATTTATGAAAAAAATGTTGAAGTACATATGATCCAGAAGAGAATCCTGAGGTATTTTTCCCCAGGTAGATATACATCTATTAAACACCATGTGTTGCATATAGTCATTCATCCAACTATGAAACCCTCTGGCATCCATTCCATATAGTTCCACTTTCTGAAAAAAGTGGCTATGGTTAACTTAATCCAATGCCTTACCCAAGCCTAAATATGTATTATCCATAGCATTTACTTGGTTTACTATCCCCCTCCCCCCCAAAAAAGAGCAGTTAAGATTGGGTTTACCTAACCGATTTTTAACAAACACAAGCTGGCTTTTAGTAGTCACCTTGTTTCTTTCTAAGTGCTTGCAAAGCCCCTACTTGATTATTGTTCTAGGATTTTTTCATGTATTGAGGTCACGCTGATACTCTCTAATTTCCCTGGGTCTGCTTGACTTCCTGCTTGACTTGTGTTTACTTAATTGGGACATAAAGAACTCTTGAAAGTTTGTTTTAAAAAACAACACCCAACAATTTGGGTGTGGAGAATGACGCGATTTCTAAAGAGGCTGGAAATAGGAGAAGTTCCTTCCTTTGCAGAACTTTGCTGATGGACAGAAGCATAACAGCAGAGAAGGTCAGGCTGCTTTAATTGCAAAGATTTCCTCAAGCTGAGAGGTATGTGGAGAACTATTTAAATGACTTTTGAGTGTGTTTAGGCTTTTTGTACATTGATTATTATGCTGAATGCAGAGAACGACTTACAATGTCAACTACATAAAAACTTGCTAACTAGAATGGGATGCAATGAACATTTTTGTTAATATTGGCTTTTTCCAACTCTGTAACTGCAATTAAAATAAACTAGCCATTAAAAAATATAGCATTAAATGTACTAATATTCAAGATTATGGTCTTAACATTTAAGAAAGTGCAGAAGCATCTCTGTATTTATTTGTCTTGTTTGCATGCATCTGATTGATTAGGTGCAGGTGTCCATATGAAGAATCAACAACTTTGGGTCGGTAAGTAAACATGCATATTTTGCACATGCTGCATAGAAAAATCTACTTGTCTCCATGTGTAAACTGGCTAGAAAGGAAGTCAATATAAGGAACCTCTTTCTGGATTTTACCCACTTCCTCACATAGTGTGGCCAGATGTTATGTCTGGATGTTAATGTGGTCCCTGACTGATAATTCCCCTGCTTCTTTTTCCTTGGACGCCAGCAAATCAAGTGATATTTGCTTTTTCTTTAGTGAGCAAGACTTTTGAGGACATAGCAACAATTTTACAGTTTTTTTTCTACCATTTGCAGCCATTTTAGAGTACAGCAGCATAAGAACATATTTTTTTTAAGAAAGAGGAAAATGTGGCAGAAACATGTCAAGTTTCAAATAGTTAAAGGAGAAGGGGGAAGAGGCCATGTTTTCACAGTTCCAGCAGAGACTCTCTTAAAAAAAGAAACCAAAAACCCATATCAGAGATCCAGTCTTTCACAGCAGGCACCCCAGTTACCCTGGATAAAATGGCCCTTGAAAGCAGAGACCAGAGACCCATGGAAGGGAGCCTGGACCATCAGAGCACATACCAACCAACTGAAGCAAAGGCATCTGTGTGGGAGGGAATGAATGGCAGGAGACAGAGTGTAGACTGCCCTGCTGCTTCCAGAATAGAGGGAGGGAAAAGACTACTTTTGATGCAGAGCCAGAAAACTCAGGTGGCCGTCCTCTTCCCAACAGGTTGCGGGAGGGAGGGGCTGAGGATGCAGCCAATCTTCCTGTTCCTCCCAAACTGGTGGAAGTGCCCATCCTTGTGCCTGGGCAAGTGGGAAGTAGGGATCAGCCTTATTACAAATAAGCAAAATAGCGCTAAAGAAATGAATATTATTTTTTTACAATCCTGGACATTAAAACTATAGTTTTAAACATGATAAGTAATTTATTGCTGAATTTAGTTGATCTCACTTATCTCTTTTTTCATGTTTTATGGACTCATTTGATCATCTGTCTACAGTTTGGGAAATAAATAAATAATGCCTTACTGTAACGTCTGATCTACTCCTGATGTTGAGCATTTTTGCTTTGCAGGTTTCATTGTTCTGCTGAATCTGCAGTTTGGTAGGACTCTTTTACTATTGTTTGTTAGTTGACGAAATCTGTTCGAAAAATCTTAAGTGGCCTGTTTTAGCACGATCAGAAGTAGATTTTTTAAAAAATAGTAAAAAATAGTGAGTGTTTTAGAAACAAAGTGCACCTAGAGTTAAGCCTGTGTATAGTTTCTTAAATACTATTTCTATGTAAGAGCAAGAGAGACTGAAATTAAAATCCTTATTTAAAACATAAGCCAAATTTGTCTCCTTAACTATGGGTTTTTCAATTCTTCTCAGACCAAATAATTGCATTCTAATGTATGATTCTTTTGTGCTATATTCCAAAGGAACATAGAATTCATGCAAGCCTCTAATAGAACAAACTTAATTATTTACAGGAACATTAAAGGAAGAGTATAGAGTGAAATCTCCTATTTTTCCTGACACAAGCCCTATGAAACCTGAACTAACTTACTACGCTGAAACTCTGCTTTTCCCCCAAGCCACAATGGTTTTCAATGGGTTCCCTGATTCTGACTGATTTCTTTCTTTCACTCTCTTCTTTCTTTCTTTCTTTCTTTCTTTCTTTCTTTCTTTCTTTCTTTCTTTCTTTCTTTCTTTCTTTCTTTCTTTCTTTCTTTCTTTCTTTCTTTCTTGTAACTTCTGAAATCTCTTCATGATATTTCCCCCACTCTCTGTATGGTAGCTAATGCATATATTCAGATTCCCCTCAAAATCAGCTTGCTGACACAATTTTTAATTTGGCTGTTAGCTCTTCCCTTGACAATTTCATTAGCTTTAGACAGCTGAGGTTTTAGTTTCTAAGTTTTATCCCATTGGATAAAGCTTTCAGGTTTTTATTCTCCCATATTTGCTTTAAAATATGTTGTAAGGAACTTTAGTAAGCAAATTCTTTCAGCAGAATAATTTTTCCCTCATATGATTATGACTGGAATAATTCTACATTGTTTTATCAGTTGCCTTATATGCAATTTAGAGCAAAAATCCTTATCAATAAATAATTAGTGCCTGTACTCTCCCACTGATTATTCTAGATGGAATAAAAATGCTATTCTGTTATCACATACTCTAAATATTTTGCTTTCTGATGATTATTGTCAGAAAAGATAGATGCTGGAACAAGTTCATCTTCATAACTGAGTCATACATAGGGTTTTTCTGGATATTTTGAGCTATGTCAACTTACAGTGCAAAGAATAATTTAAAAAATTGGTTTATAATGAAAAGGACTGAGACAGTTGGTTCCTGAGGACCAGAAACAAAGAATGCACACTGATATTGAAGCTTGTGGCCAATGCTTTCCCTGTAATGTTCCTACTTTTTCCAAAATATTCCTTGTCCTGCCTATGTCTCATTTATGAAAAAAGTCACTTATCTTATAATGTCACTGTTTTATACAACAAGCCACAACTTTGAAAAACTCATTATATCAGAAACCTTTTAATTTGACTCAATCATATCAATGAATCAGCAATACTTTCAAAAGTCAAGTGTGTATATGTACATATTTTATATTATTTATAATTCACCATTTTCCACTATTCTAAATGCAGCTAATTATCTTTTATATCATGTATTTTTACCTCTGGGAAAAAGGCAAATGTTACGCTGAAGATAAACTGCATGCAGTTTTAGCCATTTATAACATTACACAAAGCATTTATTTTCAGGTTCTGCCTACAAACTTGTCTGTTATGTCACCAACTGGGCTCAGTACAGGCAAGGACCAGCCAAGTTCACCCCAGATAACATAGATCCATTTCTGTGCACTCACTTGATTTTTGCTTTTGCGGATTTGGAAAACAATCAAATTAAAACTAGAGAATGGAATGATGTAATACTCTACAGGGAACTCAATGCTCTAAAGGACAGGCAAGTAATGTTCCAAAGAAATATATTTGTGTAACAATAATGCCTTTATTAGTGGAGATGATAGCATCAAAACCAGGTAAAACAGAAAAAAAGCACTTAATGCAGACCTTACAGCTCATCACTTAAATTATATGTTGTGGACACTTAGTTATTAATATTGTCAAATGGTCATAAGCCCAAGGCCTAGGACAGATATAAAGTAGGTATATAAAGGCGATCCCTTTCCCCTTCTCAGTTCTGAGAGCATGGGTATTTTTCTTTGTTTTTCAAATTATTTTAAGGATATTTTAGAGCTTTCTCTACAGCACGGGTGTCAAACTCGCTGCGTCACATGATGTGTGGCGCCATATCGTGACTTTTTTTGCATTGCCGAAGCTGGGGTGGGTGTATGATGCAATCGGCCCGCAGGCCGGCAGTTTGACACCCCTGCTCTACAGTTTTGTTTTCTTCCTAGCTTAGTCAAGGCTCTTTTGATACACCTGTAGGGATCTCAGTTTGCAGCAATCTGATTCACAACCAACTTTACACAGAACAATTGTGTATTTTATGTTTTCTGGATGAAGGAACATTGGGTATTGCTCGGAGTAGATATATTTTCTAGGGATCAAACCAATGTATGCAAATAACTTTTTTGCGCACATATTCCTAGTATATGGAATGTCTTAAGTTAAAAGCCAATGTTCTCTGCTCTCTTTTTCTCTTTTACCATTAGGAAAATGCCAATGTTAGTTATGAGTGCTTATATATTTATTTACGTAAACATAACCAGCAGGCCAGCCAGAGGAATTGACTTGTTGTATGTGAGATAGATAGACCCAAAGTTCTTTTTATCCAGAAGAAAATAATAATTTAATGAATCATAGTAAATCATAATCTAACTAAAATAATACTAGCCTTGAGTTTTCAGATTTGTTTGAGAAATCCAAATTATATTGGTAATTTCAATGAGAAAGGGGAAATGATGTTCTCTATCTCTGCTGGAACTGCCAGAGAAGCCAAGAATGTAAAAGCCTTTTATGTCTATGGAGATTCTCAGTCATCCAGGTCATGGTTGTCCCAAAGTTTTTTCAAGAGGCAACTAGACTTTTGGGGTTTGGTTTTTTTGAAGACATTTTGCTTCTCATCCAAGACATCCTGCACGTGTCATCAACAGGGCAGAAAATATCCTGTCTCCACATACATTTGCACTACTCGGGTGACCCTGAGGACACAGATAAACTTCCAAATGGCCCCAGCAATTCTCTAAAAGAATGCAAATGACCAGCTGTCTGCAAGAAATATAAATCCTTCTATTCCCCACCATCCAGTCAGAGCTGAAGAAGCTTCTTGGATGAGAATTGAAATGTCTTCAAAGAAAAACAATGAAGTCTAGTTGCCTCCTGAAAAAGCACCTTTGGGACAAAAGCCTTTTATGTTAATGACTAGTCTATCATGTATGGTTTCTTTAATCTCTACTGTGTCAATAAAATCTTGGCACAAAGTTTTCCTCAAAGGCTATTAGCTTATGGTACACATATAAAAGGGAACAGTTGATGGGAATCTTGGGATAATTTTTCAAGATATAGATTATTTGTCAATATACACAGAATGTTTATATTATTTTTCTTGCTTTCCAGAAATAGCAATTTACTCACATTGCTGGCTGTTGGAGGGGGAACCTTTAATAACCAAAAGTAAGTTGTCCTAAAGTTGTCCACTGAAAAAGGTCGTGTATTTGTAATAATGTGATTTTTAATTTGGTCTAAAGGAGATAGGAAAGAATGGTGATTGCATCTCTGCAGCTGAGAAGGAATTCTGCTGGCAAAAAGGGCTTTCAGGACAGAATACCAATCAGTTTTGGCACATTTTGGCTAGTACACTACAAGAAAGAAAGAGAAGGGTGATAAGTAAAAACATCCCACAGTAATTATAAACTCAATTCCTTTCTTATTTCATTTATATTTTCATTTTGCTACAAGGAATACTCTGAAAATACTTGGCTGAACTTAGAAGCAAATATAGCAATTTCTATTATTATTTTTTAAGGGTAGGTAGGTGCTGGATCTTGCCAGTTTCTAACTATGGTTCATGATGTTCTGTGAAAATAAAAAAGAGGTCCATGGCAATGAACATAGAAAATTAGGCTGTCCCAAAATAATATATTTCTTCCAGATTTACTACCATGGTATCATCTTCAGCAAATCGCCAGACTTTCGTCTCATCAGTTATAACTTTTCTCCGTGAGTATGGATTTGATGGTCTGGATCTGGACTGGGAATATCCAGGTTCCAAAGGTAGCCCTCCAGAGGATAAACACCTGTTTACGATTCTGATTCAGGTGAGAGACTGAAAGCATAAACTTTTAATTGACATTTTTGTAAAAGAGTCTTGTAGGATCTTTAAACTGTGTGTTTTGATATTTTGCGATGCATGCCATTCAACAGTAGTGAATCACTGCAATACAAATTTCTATTAAAATTAGAATTGAAAATCAATGTCCAATTAAGATTTGCTATTCAGAATTTTGCTCTATCACAATTTTGCTCGAAAACTCAGTCCTAGAATAGATATTTTATCGATGGAATATACAAATAAAAGGACAGCATATCTCTGAGTATGTATGAAGTACTTATGTATTTATAGCTAGCCTCCATTTATTTAGAATGGCAAAATAGATAGTAGGAGTAAAAGCAGGATCCAAGATCCAAATAAATTTTTGTATTATTTACAAATATTCGTACACTATTTCATGACTAACAGTCCAATTCTGTGCATATCTACTTAGAAATAAGTTTGACTGAATTCAGGGATGTTTATTTTCCAAGTTAAGTGCTATAGGACCGAAGCTTAAAGCCACAGTCTAGAATACAAATCATTGCTCCTCTCCTGGGCAGCTGCCTTAGAACCTCCTCCACCATCCCTCTCATGTTCCAAAAGAGATTTCAGTGTGCCCTTTTGATTCTAATATAGCACCAGAGATAGTGACAAAGGAATACTGTATGTTGGAGGCTTACTTAGATCCACCTCGCTCTTCTATTCCTTGTTTAACATACCTCTAAATGGGTTAGTTTTCTTATGACTGATATCAAGGTCAGGAAAAGGAAACAAAATGTGAATGCAGGTGGTTGGAATGTGGGAATTACTGAAATATTTTGCTCTGCCTGCACTGAGAGCATGTTAGCAGTTCTACCATAAAGATTCTCCACATATTGCTCTTTAAATTACCCAGTGTAAAAAGAAGATTCAGTTAAATAAGCTATATGTATATGGGTAGACAGGGAATTGCAACTGCAGGGCAAGGTGGACCGAGTAGACAGGGAATTGCAACTGCAGGGCAAGGTGGAGAGGGGAGGGAGAGCAATGGGAAGAGGAGGGGAGGGAGGGCAATGCTGCCCCGTTTTAGGAGCAGTCACACGCTCTCGCGCAGCCGCCTTGCAGACGAACGAAGTGGCCTCAGCAGGAAGAAAAAAGGGGGGAAACGGGAAGTACGAGAAAGAGTGGCAAGTTGTGTGAGGATAGGAACAGCGCAGGCAAGTTGGTTAATAAAACAAAAACAGTATCAGAACGCCGATTGGCTGACGGAATCCCATGACAACATCCATGGGTCGGGTGCAAAAGTAGTTTGACCATAAATAGGCGCTCCCATTAACCTATATAGATCCCTGATGATGCCAGCAGTGGCTGGTGAAAGCTTGGACTCTAACTTATTAAAACTTTTATAGTTTTTAATTCTTCCTGGTGTTCACTTTCTTTTGTTTTTACCATGGGTGTGTGTATACATATATGTACACACATAGTATATACATACAAACATTAAGTAATGGGATTATGTAGCTCAGTACATGTATAGTATGTGTGTGTGTGTGTGTGTGTGTGTGTGTGTGTGTGTGAGAGAGAGAGAGAGAGAGAGAGAGAGAGAGAGAGAGAGAGAGAGAGAGAGAGAGAGAGTCTTAATATACACAGGCACATAAATACACATGCACACTGAGCTACACAGTCCCATGACTTAGTGGATTGATGTGTATGAAAGCTTTCTAATATGAAAAAGCTTCCTTTGACCCCTTTCCTGGTCTCTTGCAAGTGAGCAATAGTAACTGCTGCTGCTTCTGTTTCCCTCTTCAGGAATTATCAGCAGCCTTTACGGGAGAAAGTGAACAAACTGGAAACCCACGGCTCTTGCTTTCAGCAGCTGTATCTGCAAGCAAAACAACCATAGATGCTGCATATGAAGTACCTGCATTGGGGAGGTAGGTCATGCAATCTAAGAGGAGAGGTCCAATATGAACTTACAGTGGTACCTTGGTACTCATCCTTAATTGTTTCTGGGAGGTGCAATGAGTACTAAAAACAATGAGTACCAAGCAAATTTTTCTCATGAGGAATAATCTAGTGAGTCACAAGACAGCCAGTGCCAACAAGTTCTAGCTTGTGGCATTGGCTAAACAAACAAGGAGTACCAGGACAAAATTTTCAAAATGCATTGAGTGTCAAATTCTATCAGTTTCAAAGCAATTGCGTATCAAGCTACCACTGTATTTTGCTTTGGAATATTATCTCTGCAAGATCGGATAACAGACTGTGGGATAATGAGATGTATTTATCCTATCTCTTAGGGGCCAGATTGGGAAAAAGTGATATAAGGTATTTCAGTTAAGGTTTCTGAGAGCTTTCTAAAGAGCATTAACTACATCCATTACACATGTGTTTATGTCCCAAAATAGCTGTTGTTATTTGATCCTTTATACTGGCTGTTTATTGTTCCTTAATCTTGTCCTTTATTTTTAATTTGCATTTAGGAATCTTGATATTATCAATGTGATGACTTATGATTTTCATGGAAGTTGGGCTCCAGTGACAGGACACAACAGCCCACTGCATCAAGGTTTAGTGGACTATGACCCAGTTCCCTTCTACAATTGTGTAAGAAAAATGGCAACATAAAGATCTGTTATCACTTTTGTAGTACTCATAGTGGGAATTTAATTAAGCAATGCAAACATATGTAGATTACTGATGAAACTCAAGATATTTGATGTAAGTATACGTCAAAATCAAAACAAGTTTGAATTGACTATGTCTCAGCAAAAGCAGAATGCTAGCTGAAGGTTTATTTTTTTAATCCCACCAGCTAAAATTGCTGTATCACTGACCAAAAACAAGATATGCAAAAGAAGAAATGGAATTTTCTTATACTTTCTAAGAAGTGAAAGGCAGCTTGAGTTGGGTACAGTAATTGAAAAAGGATTAAGCAAGCTCTGGCTGTAACAAGATTTGCACCATATTAACAACTTAGTACTATAACTAATGAGTCACTTGAATCTGGCTCACAAGTTAGCTAACTCATCTATTTGAATTCTCATTTTTTTAAACTTAGGAAGCACTGAGCATGATGTGCAAAGATCATGATACACTAAGCATGATGTGCACTTTAACCACTTGAAAGCATTTTTAATCATTAATTCACTTATTGAAACCACAATCTGATTGATAATCTGAACCTAGAAAAAGCAGTGAGTTAGCTCAGGGAGAAAGACAGAAAGGAGGCTGGAACCAATCTTTTTTTTAATTATTTATTTTATTGTTTAATTTTATTTGTAAAAGGCATTTGCTCCAGCTATAGCTTCTCCTTCTGCTCTCATTCCCATCAAACACTAAAATTGGGCAATGAAAGGTGGGACTATTTATTTGTCCATCTGATGTGGTTTGCTGTATGATTTGCTGCAGAACGAACTAATAAATGACCATATTGTTCTTGATCTTCCTCTACCCTGCTTTGTACGGTGTACAGACTGTATGTATGCAGAAGTGTGCATACAATGTTTGTTTGTTTCTGTACTGCAGGAATATGCAATGAAATACTGGAATGACAGTGGGGTACCATCTGAAAAACTCATGATGGGGTATCCAACATATGGGCGTACTTTTAGACTTTCTAGTACAAATACTAATGTTGGTGCACCAGCCTCTGGTGGAGGCAGTCCTGGAGTCTACACCAAACATTCTGGTATCCTGGCATATTATGAGGTAAATGCCCTTCATTTTATTAAAAATTATAAGTTATCTAACTAGGTGTCAACCCCTGGTTATCCTTGGTTAATCCTTGGAATGTGTCTCCAAAATGCTTGAAAGAAAGATAGGGTAAAATAAATCAAAACCTAACAATAATAAGAAAATCTTAGCAATATAATTCTGTTCATGTTTATTGGGAGCAATGTCGCAATTTAATGGAATTTACGTTTGAGTAAATATTTACAGAATCAAATTGTTTTTGTTTACTATAATTACAAAAGTCACTTAAATTGGGATTCCTACCCCCCCCACACACACACACTAATAATTGGAACATTTTCTATCAATTGACCCATTTTTTCCCATTCTTATACTACATTTATTTTTGAGAAACTGCTGTAGGTGAAAATTTGAGCACACAAACAACAATACTCTTTAATAGCAATTATTCCAATGGGGAAATATTATAAAAATAGTTCTGCTTTATTTTGTTATCTCTCCCGAACTGCTTTGAATAAACAGATCATAATCATTTTGACAGGTTTGTGCATTCTTACAAGGAGCTGGGAAAGCATGGATTGAGAAACAGAAGGTTCCATATGCTTTCAAAAATGGAGAATGGGTTGGATATGATGATGAAAAAAGTTTTCAGTTTAAAGTAAGTTGTCATTTTGTGTAATAATTATTGAGTTAAATCTAGTTTAGCCAATGAAATAAACTCATGACTAAGTTCCAATATACAATGTATATGGAAAAGTTCCATCTGCTTAGTAAAGTTATCTTGTCATGCTGTTACACAGTATAAATTCATATCTAGGCCTGACGCCACTGATACAAAGAATTTTTGTCAACAGAGTCAGAGCATTGAGTCAGTATCACCATCTCTGGGTTGCAAAAATCCAGACAATTAATAAAGGGTTATAAAATGACAAGAACTGCTTTTTATGACCATCTAGTGATAGTCAGGATTTTTGCAGCTCAGATGCACCATCCCTATTTAAGATTCACGTAGAACCACTGAACTTTATAACAAAATGGTTCAATGTCCAGCTAACCATTTATTCATTCCGTGTGATAGAGCTAAATCTAAACATCTTTGTATTCTTATACAATTTAAACATGCTCTTGTTTCTCAGTGGCTCAATTTTGAACATGGTAGTTGGACCACTCACTTGTTTAACACAATGGAAGTAGAAGTGATTTTTCTGTATATATGTGTATATGAGTGTGTGTGTACACACTTGTATGCCACTTCTTACAACAATCTGAATTATTTATATGTTGAATATATATTATTTATAAGTTGAAAGATAATTGCTTATTTTGTTTCATTCTGATTCGTAAGATAAATGAAAATTTTCTTCCTTTAGACAAACTCTGTTGGTTCAGCAACAAGAAATATACTGCAATATTATTCAGTTAGAAATTCTGAATGCGTTATAGACAGTTGCTGGGGTGCGCTCTAAATGCAGTGGAGATATGTTAAAAAGAATCTCTCTTGGCCTGCTTGAAATTGGACCACATTTGGAACAGTTGGACTGGCCTACTCCAATGTTCTTAGGAGGGAATGGGAGTTTCCATGACTGAACATATTACCCTGTATTCCTCTGCTTAGGTGCTTAGTATACTTCTCTCTTCTATGAGGAATAAATAGTGTTTGAAGGGTATTTTTTCTTAGTATTATTCATTCAAGTTTCCTTCAACTCAGCTAATTCTAAAAGCTGCTGTTTCTCTTTGCAGACTGAGTTTTTGAAGAGGCAAATGTATGGAGGAGCCATGGTCTGGACTCTTGGTCTGGATGACTTCTCTGGCAGTTTCTGTGGTCAAGGAATCAACCCCCTTGTGAATAAACTAAAGACTTTTCTAATGAATTGAGGTAATGTGTTAATACTATTGTGTCCATCTTTCCCACTGCTCTTCATATAGGTAAATTCTCACTTTGATTATTAAGAAGAGACAGTCCCTGCTCTCGGGTTTCAAATCTAAAAAGATATAACACAAAAGAAAAGTCTGGGGAGGTACCAATTCTTAAAAATGAAATGATCATATAATATCCAGTCATAATGCATATAGAAATAAAAGTAACCAACATATATCAGTAATATCAGTAATATATCAGTAATAATAACAAAAGTTAATAAGAATAGATGACTGTAGGAAGTGAATTCCCAGGGCAGCATTACAAATCATTATAATGTCCACTTAGAAGTAGATAAAAGTTTAACCTTCCATTGTCTAAACCTAATGGCCAATTTATATTCTGGGGTTAGACTCAAAAAAATTTACATGGTGAAGCATGACTACTGTTAATGTCTTTCTAGAGGGAAAAGACCTGAAGTTGGCTAACAAGAAAATACAATACATCATCAGTTAATAAATGGAAAGTCCTCGAATTAAAACATATAAAGAAAAAAAAAATAAAAAAACCAACCCCCAGAGTAATTATATGCAATTATAACTCTAACTACTTTTGAGTACTTAGTTTGCATGTAATTGTGTGTGTATACATGGGACAAAATTAACATTACTAAGCAATCCTGCATGTGACATAGATGTAACCTCATCTATACATATAAGGTTAGTAACCTCATCTATACATTTCCAATCCTAAGTATAATGTAAAGTATAACATGAAAACCTCAACTGAGAAAAGCCATGATGGATGGCTGAGGTTAATATTTACGGGTCCATCTAGAATGGCCATGATACTGGTAGTCCTCAACTTATGACCACAATTGAGCCCAATATTTCTGTTGTTGAGACATTTGTTAAGTGCGTTTTGCCCCATTTTACAACCTTTCTTGCCACAGTTGTTAGGTGACTCACTGCAGTTGATAGTAATCCAGTTGTTAAGTGAATCTGGCTTCCCCATTGACTTTGCTTGTCAGGTCACAAAAAGGTGATCACATGACCTTGGAACACAGCAACGGTCATAAAGATGAACCAGTTGCCAAGCATCTGAATTTTGATCACATGATCATGGTGATGTTGCAAAGGTCATAACTGAAAAATGGTCATAAATCACATTTTTCAGTGCCGTTGTAATTTTGAACGGTTGCTAAAGGAACTGTTGTAAGGACTTCCTGGAAATGGAAAGCTGTGACTTAGAATCTAAGAGGTGTAAAGAACCTGAATGTATGAATTTAACAGTCTAAAGGAAAATGTATTGTATCTGTGTGAAACAAAGAAACAGAGAAGATGGAATAGATCTGAGTAAATAGTTCTGATCTTCTAGACTTGAGTTGATGAACACATGCATGGAAGTGAAAGTATATAAATGAAAGGGCTCAAACATACGCTTTCTCATGAATTAGTGGCATTTAGGTTGTTGTGGATGTGTATGAAAAGTAGACATCCATACTTTGGTGATAACTGCTTGTTATGGTCCATTGAATGGCAATAATATATATGTTTTGGGGGACACTGTGCAACAGAATGAATGAATGAATGAATGAATGAATGAATGAATGAATGAATGAATGACCTAGGGAAAAACATAATTCTGTTTAGTGACATGACTGTGGGGGTAGAGACAATAGAGCACAGAAAAAGTGACTGGGTTATTCAGAGCCCCAACAATAAATAAAGTGATTGGTGGATGTCTGCTTAGAAAAAGGCATGCTTGTTTCAAATATGCAATTTAAACATAAGTATCATCATGGCATGCCACAGGAACGATTATACGCATAGCAAAATAATTATAAATCTTTAAGTATGGTTGATTTCATAGTGTATGAGGAAAGACTGAGAAAATTGTGAAGGATATAAGGTGAAGAGTTATTTTGATCATGGGATGCACTATTATTTAGGCAAGAGTGATTCTTGGGACAAAATGGACATGCTTAGAATTGATTGCCCCCTTATTAACTGCATTCAGAATTTGTGATTTTCCTATTATGAAATAAATCCTACAAAATTTCTGTGAAAGTCATTAAATTCTTTGCCATTGCAAGTATATGCTGGGCTTAACTGAAAATGCTTTTGAAACATACACTGGAAACACACAATTTGGAATCATTATCTTTCATGATTTTTTTCTATTTAAAAGGGAAGATTTGGGATGGGAAAAAGTTATCTGGTGGTATCCATCAGAAATTCTTTAAAGATACATTTATTTAGTATCATATAATGTTAAAATGAAGGTTGGGGCCAGCTATTAAAACTCCTAAAGCTTTATTCGAAATAACAGATACATATATACCTACAATGGGTCAAACTAAAGCAATACAATGGGAAATCTATTATTGTATTCCCACAATTGAATAAAACATAACCGAAAACATAACTTGTTTCCCCCAACTTCTTTAGGGAGCTGCCACTTTGCTTTTGAGCAAAAGTTGTGTTTAATACAACTGTAATATAAGCCCCAGAAAAAAAATAGCAACGAGTAAGACAATTTAGGCACTATGGTGCAAGCAGGTGAAAGGATTAATTCTTTTATGCTATAGTCCAAACCTTATACTCTCTTCAGAGAAGGTTGCTATTAAAGTTAAAAAAAATAGAAAGTCCCACCTCCAGTCTTTTCTGACTGCAGTTTTTTGCCTTGAAATTCAATTACAGTTCATTTTTTGTGTGTTATTTGTTCCACAGGCCTCAGTAAGAAGAATAGAACAACATTCAGTGGAAGACTAACACGTCTTAAATTCTTTCTGTTCAGGTGATATATTTCTTTGAAAAAGAAATATTAATAAATCAATGACTCATAACCAGTTTCTAAGTTTCTTTCACTGCAGTAATATAAAAACAGATATTTGGTTATTAACAGTAAGTTATCAATTACTTTACTAAGTGGATGACTGGATAGAGAGAGACAGGATTTATGTTGTAAAGATGTTTTCCTAGTGTAGTATCTTTTATAAAATTTGTACCAAAAGTCTCCTTGTGTCAGCTTGATGAATGGATAGGGGTTAGGGAAGTTACACAATCAACATCTAAAAGATACTACGATGAGGAAGGCTACTGTAGGATTGAAACTGATGGTTCTGTTTGGCAAGCTATAAATTCTTTCAATTTTGTTACAAGTGGTTCTGTGTATGTTCTAATCTAAGTCTACTAGTTTACAGGATATACAGTGGATTTCATTGGAATCATAAGGCGTTCCATGAAACTTCTAAATGAAAGCTAATTTTTGGAGAAATCAAGAATATATAAAGAAACTTTAAAAAACTTTTTATACAGTGGTGTGCAGAAAAGTACTTAGGCATCATGCTACATAGAAGACATCAGCAGAGCAATTGCCTGCTATAACAGTTTAGTATATTATCTAACAAAACTGACTAGAAATTGTAATATGTTTTCTATTACCCATGTGTTTTCTCCCATACAGAGTACATAAGGTAAAAGATTATACAGCTCAGTTATAGTTCTTCATCAACTAGAAATATAATGGATATAAAAGGTATAAATCTAGTTTCTAAATATAATAGCTACAACTCAGTTCAGGTTGAATGAAAAGTGTGGTTTCTACTACAAGAATATAATATGGAAGTCTTTCCTCACATGGTAAATCTGTTTCTTGTTCAGTATGTATGAAACAGTAGACAGAAAAGAGCACTGTGCTAAAATAAACTTCTAAAAATGTCATTGCACATATCACTGCACATATATTTCATGGAATTTCCACTCTTAGTCACATTTGGATATGCGGTGCAAGAAAGACTATATCAAATCATATGGCACATACTTCTAATACCTTTGTCTTTCAAAAAATACTGGCCAGTGCAGTGGAATAGCAGGACAAAATATTTTCAATTTTAGCTTTTAATCAATACATGCTTGCTCCCATAATAATTTCTCAAATTTGGCATGACATTTGTGAGCATTGTGATCTTAACTCTCAAACTGACATATCAGTAGAAATTATACTTTGAAAATCTGCATTTTTCTTAAGTATTACTATAGTTAAACTGTTCAAAACCAGAAACATTTTAACAGATGTGGCTGTTAGCAAAATCCAAACTCCTATATTTGAAACATCTTCCGAAGAGTAAATGTGTTATACTGAAACAGTGGGAAAATAGAAGCATTTAAAAGGCTAACAAAGACATTCTTTATGAAATAGTCTGGATATTGAATCGAAGTAATAAACTAATTAAAAATGTTTAATTCTAAGGATAAAAAAGTAAATTAGTGGTCTAAGCATGTAGGAGAGGAAATATCTTCAGCCACAAGAATTAATCACTATAATATATGCTCAGATAGGCCACCAGATTCCGATATTTCTTGAATTCTTTATCTGAAAGCAGCTGAAATAAAAATTTAAAAAAAATTAAATACATTACTGTACATAATTGCTATCATTATATTATTATTAGTAATTACATAATTACTGGACAAATAATAAAAAGTATAAATTTGGAGGGCAATTCAGTTGGCATGATATGAATATGGCTTGTATTTTTTCTTCTGGAATATTATCCAACTTCCCTGTCTAGATTGGGGAGGTCCCCCATCCAAATAGTAATCAAGACTGTCTCTCCTTAGTTTAGAAGCAAATCTATCACCACAAAATACTTCAGGCAAAGAAATTCTGCAGGAAGAGAAACAAGTGTTATCAGCTTTAAAAGATAACTACCATAAAGAGATTATGATATAAACTTATACTATTATATCATTATATTTTATGTACCAGAGCTAGCATGGCATAATAATAATGTGCTGGATTGGAGGCGGGGGGGGGGGGGGACACAGTTCTTGTTAAACTGCAGGACATTGGGTGCTCATTACCTTTCAGCACTAGACTGGAAAGTTGAACAGTATCCAGAAGAAAGTAATGCCAAACCATTTCTACAATTGCAAGAAATTCTGCAAGAAAATGCCATGGATTTGTCCAAGACGTTACATAAGTAAGACTGTATCAAAAACACCCCCATAAAAAAGGAGGTTTTTAATCTTCATATTAGTTAGAGGAGTATCATTCAGGAGCATGACTATGCTCCACAGTATATAACTTGAACTTTCCATCCCCTCTCTCTCCTTTCTCTTTGTTGGTGAACAATTTCTGTATTCATAATCCTACCTAGGCAGCAACGAGCAGCAGAATCTCTATATTCCTTTCCCCAGCATAAATCTATTTATTGTGGTTCAAATATAGAAGGTGGAATAAGCATTTTATTCTATTTAATATTAACCATGTTTAGTTGTAGGACAAGATAGTATCAAAGAGCAGCAAAGTCATATAAAGGTCTGTAGACAGAACCATTTTAAGGGCCTATCTGAAGTGAACCAGACAAATACTTTTGGAGGGAGAGAGAGGAGGTTCACAAAAAACATCATCATCAGAAGGCCCTGGTTTGCTATCCACTAACCTGTTGGTTTGTATGGCAGAAAATAAGCCATCTATAACCAACCTAGAATTTACGTCAACAGATGTTCAAATAACTTGATGTGATGATCGTCTTTAAATGTTAAAACAAGAAATGAATAAAGTAATTGCTGTATAATAGAAACAGATCATTTGTTTCCCCAACAAATAGCCTAGTAGCTATAAGTTACCACATGGTTTCCTGTAAGCTGTTGCTCAAAGACAAGAAGATATATTGTTCTATTTCAATAAATGAAGCATTTCTGTCATTCCAAATTGTTAACCCCAAATTTCACACCTCAGCTCTGAAAGTTCTTCTCTGTGGCATTGGAACTAAAGACCAGTCTGGGGAACCAAACTTCCCTGGCCAGCTGACATGCCTGTGTGGCAACCTGTATGGGTCATAAGTTCCAGGTCTGAGGAGACAGGAGAGAGAGAACAGACATGTATTATTTTCTGTTATATACAGTACTGCAGTTTTTATGCTATGTACTATATAACTTAAAATAAATATAGCATTGTATATTGTGCTTTTTTCATAGTTGTGTTGGATTGGTTAAATTGTTAAAAAAACACTTTCCATTCAAAATAGCAATACAATAGCAATAGCACTCAGACTCATATACCATCCCATAGTGCTTTACAGCTCTCTGGGCAGTTTACAATGTCAGCATATAGTCCCCAATAATATGGGTCCCATTTTATCAACCAACCGACCTCGGAAAGATGGAATGCTGGGTGAATCTTGAGTGCCTGTCAGGATCGAACTCCAGGCTGTGGGCAGAGTTTGCCTACAATACTGCATTCTAACCATTGTGCCACCCGGGCTCCAAAATAATATTGATAAGTTGCATAAATAAAAAAAAATAGGGTTTTAAAAAATTTTGCTGTAGTTTTTTATTTATCCTTTTTCCCTCTTCTTTTGATAAAAATAAATAAACACTAAAAAAATAAAATTATAGATGGAATTGGGTAAAGGTTTAAAACTTTATGATGAAAAAGAATGCATTTTTATTAAGCTCTTTAGACAGAAAAGCTCCGAGAATGCAATATTACATATTGTCAATTAATAGAAAAGCAGTCTTTTGTCAATAATTTGCAATCAAATGACATTTCAACTTAATGCAAAAAGTATGCCTCAGATTAGTAAAACAGATATCCTATTTAGGTTCTGTTGATTCCCCCTCCCACACACAGTTTTCAAATGAAAAAAAGCCCACAGGGCTTATACAACAATAATCTCATTGCTGTATTAGGGTAATTTTTATACACTGTCAAGGTTAAGATGTATCAGGTTTTCGTTTCAACCTAGCAAATTTTGGGAGGGTTACTAGCGTTTGTTAAAATACTTGCTGAAGAGCCTCCAAAACAGCATAAGATAGCAATTATACCAACACATAAATCCAACAAAATCTGTAAGTACAGGAGTCCCACTGACACTATGGGAGCTCCAGCTGGAATATATTAAGACATTCAGACATATTAATGATTGCTAAAGATCACTTTGTTCCTCCAATATATCCATGACTAACTAAACCACACCATTTCCAGCTTATGCATAGTTAAATCCTTTCCAAAATTAAATGAAAAACAAAACAAAGCTCAAATATAAGATTTTCCTGCCTTAGCACTGAACTTCCTTTATTGTTCAGGTTCCATAGCCAATTTTTAATTAAAAAAATGAAAAAAGTACCCAGGAAAGAGTTCTCTATCTTGAACCTGCTCTAAAAACCGTGGTATATTGCTGAGAAATGGGAAATGTTCAGTCTTATGCTTGTGTTCTTTGATCCATATTGACTGATATGTTGTAGGTGCAGGGGTCACATGCTAAAAAAGAGAGAGCATAAAATGCAATTATAAAGAATGTAATTTGAAGTCCATAAGCACTCCAATTAAGTTTCAGTTCTAAACCGAGTGAATAATCTTGATTTTATCTCTATCAAACCCCATCGAAATAGAATAACTTGTGAATTAATAGAATTAATACATTGTAAATAAATCAGGAATGGTAATTAAAATTCAATTTAATATTTTTGTAAACTTTTGTGCATTATCAATTACTTCAACACACCAGGATTGCAACTGTGCAATCGTGTAAAACAACATAGTTGCTTTACTTTGTTTCTATCTAGATAGAGATCCTATTCTAATCAGATCCATCAAACTAGAAAGGACTCTCTAATATGGCTGTGCTGTATTTTGAATTTATTTAGATAGAAATTCAAAATACAGCACAGCCATATTAGAGATTCCTTTCTAGTTTGATGAGTCTGATTAGAATAATTTAATGTGTAATTAGGTGTTTTGGGTATATAAAATCATCCAACATAAGATATTAATATTGCAAGATGGGTGAGGCAATGTCACACAAATAAATAAAGCTTAATTCTCCTTTTTCTGGAGCTTTTCTGAAATGAATTGGGATTTTTTTTAAATGATCTTCCTGTCTGTTTGCTCAGCCATTAACTATTTAAACCCTGAGCAAAAGAAACCTTTTATCTGTCCAGTTTCATATGCTCAGTAATGTCCCCAAACACTGGGTTTTTAAATTATTGTCTGGGCTAGTATTGAATTTATTTTAATGATGGATTTATTTTAATTATTTTATGTCTCTACAACACAATGTTACAGAGTTTCTTTTAAACTTATGGATAAACAGGGATATAAGCAACCCTACCCAACTCCACAATCCAAGTATATCAGCAAATCAAATGTAGTCAATTTCACACTAAAAAAATGTGACAACACTTAAAGAATATAAGTAATAATTCTACTTTTATTGTTTTCTTCTAGAGAAGCATGAAACATTAATTGTGAAAGGTTAAACTTCTCTCTCGGCCACCCTGGTTTGTATTGCTGGCTGTGGTGGAAATATTTTGGCATTCTATTAAAATTAAAATTTTAGAGTACAAAGAAGGCCTTCCTTAGATGGGACCCACAGTATAGAAAGTGAATTTCCTCTATGTATGCAAGGAACATTGGCTGCAAGAGTTGTCTGCTGAAGGATTTCACGCCTGCAGAAGAGAACTCCTACTGCAGAGTATATGTACTGAAAATGTTTTTACCTTGTTTATTATCACAAAACGTGGTGTTGTTCTTGCTCCCATGCTGTAACCTTTAGTACTCTGTGGTCTCTGAGCCAAGTTATATATAAGATTGTTCCTCTATATATTAAAACAAATGCTAAAGTTATTCTATCTTATAATAATGGGGGGGGGGGGGGACAATGTATAGCAGCATAGTAGAGCCTGCAAAACTAAGATTTCTACTGAGAAGTTGTTAATAAAAAGTAAAAAAAATCTTGAGCACTGTCAGAGAAAGCATGATAGTGCAAAGAAACAGGAATAATTATAATATACAGACAACTAAAAAGTCAATGTTGGAGCTCAGTGGTGAATAATAAAATAAAATAATTACAACGTATCCTACCTAAATTTATTTTTTTCTTAAATAGAATTTTCTCAAAGCAATTGTCCAATTTCCCCACTAGCTTATTGGGATAATTTGAGTCACTTAGAAGAATGGTTGAAGAAATGGTACACTCCACTTGTTTTCCCACTTACTATTTATTAAACCAATTTAGATAACTGATCATCTCACAAACAAGAGATTCTGGTTGGCATACAACAGAGCTAAAAACATTAACACATACATTGTAAAATATAAAAAAACAAACTAAAACAGAGAATAGCAGACAAATTGATGTTAAAAATGGTAGTACTACCTCACTAGCTGACTCGTCTCCTGGGTTTCCCAGTAGCTCATCCAGGGTGATTGCTATACAGCAGAGAAATTGGTACAACAGTAACAATCCCAATTGATCTCAACTTATTAAGCAGGGTCTCACTTCCTGTGACCTGCTGGGCAGCGCCCTTGAAATCCAGAAGCGGTTCTTAGATGACAACTGCCGTGTCAGCACCCCTGCTCTGTGTTGTTAGTTGGTGACAAACTCGAAGCCCAGCCAGTAACATCTGTGAGAGGGAGACCCCCACTACTGGGCCCAGCCAGGTCTCAATAACACATGCCAGTTTGGCCTTCTCATCTACGATCAAAAAGGTCTTATTAAAAACTGACCTGACATTTAAGAGCAACAAGCAGAAGTCAGAGCCTCTGACAGGCTGCTGCTGGGCATAGATGCTAAAACCAAGGAGCTGGAATGTGAAATATTTTCCTAGGTGTGACCTGCTTGTCTCCCACCATATGTTCCCATGCCCATGCCATGCCCATCACCATCATAATATTATGGCCCACCCATGTCCCCTCAATGGCCACACTGTCTTCCCCGCCAGACAACCGAATTCCAAAGGCCCAGGAACTCCAATAATAACTAACTACATCCGTTCCAGGAGGGGGGAAAGAACTCTGAGGTGCTTCAGCCCTACTGGCTTTCAACACCCTCAGGCACCCAGCCCCACCTTCCTCCATCAACCCTTTTCTCAGGCTCTCACCCTGAGTGGGGAAGCATACAAACAAAAGATTTAGCTGACAGACAAAATTGGGAGGAAAATAATCTTCTCCCTCTCTGGAACAATCAGAGAAAAAGCCTGTGTGTGTGGGGGGGGGTCCACATCAGACTACATTCTTCTGCTATCCCCCCCCCCACACCCACACACCGAGCCACCACCAATAATCCAAGATCCCAAATCCTGATTAGCCTCTCCAAATGGAAAGTCCCATGCAGTTATCTGGTCTATATAATGAAAGACACTGGTAGCAAAGAGATGAAAATAAAATACAAGGGGCAACTAGCACAGGTCAGTCCACAAAAGCAGCCAACCAGGCAACAAGCATAGTGCAGACCCAGTCCATCCTTAACCATCTTCTGATTTCCAGAATTTGTTAGCAGTAGCAGAGGGACAGAAGTACAACAAACACAATGATCCATGGTTCCTATACCATTTCCCCAGAGTTCGTCCCTATTTTTTAAAAGAACAAAACTTGTTCTCATCTAGGAGACAGATGAGTTGAGGAATTCAACTGAGTCCATTCACCAAATATGTCTCTTCTTTCCATATGACAAAATACATTTTCCCCTCTTGATATGGACTGAAACTGAGACAGTGACCATAAATTTGATGTCCCTCAGTGAACATTAGGTGGGGGGTTAGGTAGCCTGCACATTCACTACACAAAATGTTAGGGTTCATTAGTCTAAATAACAGAACTTGTACTCATGGATTTTTGCTGAAAGCAATCATGTGAAGTACATAGAAATGAAAGACAGTATCAAGTACAGAGTCATCCTGTGAAAATAATAGATGAATGGGGTTTAACTGTGGTCTCTCAAATCTTTGCAAATATTCTCTAATTATCTACTTTTTAAGACAAGAGACATTGCTTTTATTTACAATATATTCAAATTTTGAAAGCAAAAGTAATCAATATAATCTGAATAGTAAATATCCTTTCTTTACTTCAAATTAAATAACTCTTTGGCGAGAAAAAAAAATGAAAGGGAGCACTACTTACCTCTGCATGATTATAAGCTCCTGGTCCAAGATCAGGATCACCTTTAATTGGTGCATACTCATTACCTAATCGGTCTGGTGCATGATGAAAGGGGAAAATTTTCTTTTCCTGACAGGATCCAAATGAATTTCCCTTCTGTACATCTGAAAACCCAAATAAGAATTAATGTCAGTCAAATGTTTGTATCAATGTTTGATAATGTGCTACAAAATTAAAATGATAAAAAAGCAGAATGACACCTCGTATCTACTGGATTAACTTTTCAGTGAAACAGAGAATACAGCCAGCCAGTTTATTTCATTTCACTTAATTACCTGAAATTTACATAAAAAACATAATTAGAAAGGAAAAATAGAGATAGTCCTCACTTATTGACTGCCTCTATCGGCGACTATTCAGAGTTACAAGGGGATTGAAAAAATAGGTTAATGACTTGCAGCCATTGCAACATCTCTATAGTGATGGCATGATCCTCAGTCATATGATCATGATTTGGGCACTTTACAACAAAACATTTACAATGGTCACAATGTAACCATGTTTTGGGCGCTTGGCAACTGGCCTGCACTTACAACCATTTGCAGTGTCTTGTGTTCATGTAACTGTGATTTTTGCCCAAAATCGGCATTTACGTCCAGCTTCTCACAAAAACCGCTCATAGCAAACAATTGTTTCGCTTAATGACCATGTTGTTCACTTAACGACCATCACAAAAGATCGTAAAACTGGGTTGGTCATGTGACTCACTTTACAACCATCACAACTTATGACCAATTGCCAGGATTGGTAATAATTGTAAATTGAGGACTATCTGTACATATGTGTAAACTGGCTTTTTGTTTACCACACTCACTTGTTGGTGGCAACTGCCTGTTTACATTCTATTCATTTCTGCTCTCAGAAATTCAACAATGGGAAGCTTTTCAACAACTGGGAGGTAGCAGACTCTCCTTTTTGAAAAATATATAGCAGAGGCTGGGCAACCATTTCTCAGGAATGCTGCAGTTGGAATTTGGAATTTGGAATGCTACAGTAAATGGGGTTTGAACTACATACATTCTAGGCAGGCCAACTTATTATAATGTTTCTCTGCAGTGACTTAAACTTTCTAACTAACAAGATAATTGTTTCCGATTTATTGATGAGAGAGAGGGGCCCTTCATGGAAATTTAGAATACTGTACTAATTTATTCACTTGTTCCATGATTAACCCCTAATGTATTAGTTTTGTGATTACATCCTGGAAAACTGAAAGTAAGTTTTTTTTGTTGCTATCTATTCTGAAATAAACAACGCTATCTATTTCTCAAGAAAGAAAATGTATTGTTAAAGGTCCCATAATGCACTGCAATATACATATTTGGCAGGCAGGTGTTACACATCCATCTAATTTTGCTGGTACGTAAATGACTGAACAAAGGAACTATGTTCCTTTAGTATTGTGACAGTCCCTAAGTTTAGAAATCAGGGGTAGTCAACCTTGGCTCTTTTATGACTCGTGGACTTCAACTCCCAGAATTCCTGAGCCAGCTAAGCTGGCTCAGGAATTCTGGGAATTGAAGTCCACGAGTCATAAAAGAGCCAAGGTTGACTACCCCTGGTTTAGATAGTGTTATTTTAAAAGAAGTCTATATAGAATCATGGTTATGTAAATTTATTCTGGAACCCGAGGCAAATAATTTCAGAAACATCTTTCTCTTGGTTGTAAATTAGCAATAAAAACACAGTAAACTAAGTGAAATTAAGAGCCCCCTCCTAAAATCCCAAATCGCTTGATTGAAGCAACTACCTACTCGGCCTGCTCGGAGCTCTGACTTTAAACTGGAGCTTACTTACCGTCCAGTTCCCATTCCGGATCCAGGTAGTTTTGGAAATCCAACCGTGTTCGCACATCCAACCGTGTTCGCACCCGCACGTTAGAACGGCCCAGTGTCGGGCTCCCCAGCTGAGGCATGGCAATCCCGAAGAAGGATCGCAAAAACCACCGGATTTCCCTTGCTCCCACGTCAGCACACCTCTTCAGAGGAAGAGCGCCTCGAAGAGCGACCCGCGACCCTCTCCAGCCGAGGCACGGAGCTCCACAATGCGGGGAGGGGAGGAGGAGGAGGGGGGGGGGAAAGCGCTTGTCCGGCGCGCCTTCTAGCCAATCCCCGCCCGACTCACCTAGGAGCTCCCACGCGAGGGGGCGCTGGCTGGAGGTGAGCGCCAGGATTCCGAGCTGCTTGGAGTCCGTGTCTTGCCATGGAAACAGGACAGGGCTGAGCCCCACGTTGGAATACTGAGGAGCTGGACCTCCGGTCGCGCTTCCAGACCCGAGGGCTTCACCCGAATCTGCAAAGGCGGGGAGAGAAATGGTGGGGAGGCTCGCGGCGTAGCTTCTGGCGGCCGGGGCGAGAGCTCAGCCAGCCTACGAAACCTGGGCCACTTCTAGACGGCAGGAGCGCAATTGTTGTAGTTCTTTATTGCCAGCTAATAGTCGTCCGGATTTTTGCAGCGCGGTTCTGACTAACCGTTAGGGTTGCCAGGTCTGCTTCCCAAAAATAGCGGACAAGCGGGGGGGGGGGGGGGTGTTAAGTAGTAAAAAAAAAGTAGACTGTACAGCTTTAGATTACGTACCATTTCATCATAAAGCTTTTGAATAAAAAAAAAAAGTCCACTATTTTGTGAAAAAAAAATAGTGAACATAATGTGAAAAAAGTGGACTGTCCACTCAAATAGTGGACACCTGGCACTGTACTTTTACTTGACAGCAGTGACTCAGTAGGCGGGTATCATTTTCGCGGCAGATTCAATCCTGGCCCCGGGCTTAGGCGGTGGGGCTCGGCTCAGCTCTGCCAATAACTGGAAAGCGGACTATGAAGAAGTGCCGCGTGTTTTACACCTCCCTCACCCTATGGCAGCTAGCTAACTCCGGATTGCCCGTCTTTCTTGGGTGAGGAAAAAGAATCTTTCTAGCCTTTGGAAATAAAGGCTGGTTGAGCCAACGGAATTATTTTTATTATTGCATACTTATTTCGAAGGCCCTAAAACAGCCTATTTTTACACAATGGGCAGTGAGTGTTGAAAACGACTGTTCAGCTGGTTCAGAAGTCTATATAGCTGGCAGAAGGTGAGCGACAGCGTTTCCTGTTTCCGAACAAACTTGTTTGGCAGATTGGAATTCCCAATCAGAGACCTGTTTATCCATAAAGCACTATCTTCTGTAGCATGCGCTTATCTAAAGACCTAAAGTATTCAGTTATACAGTACTGAAATGAAAGGGTAACATAATGAGGTATATGCTTCATTAATTCAATCAAGTTATAGTCTGCCTCGGTCACAAAGGCACCCCTAGGCAGTTTAGATTTTAGGATTAAAAACAATAGAATGATGAATAAAAATAAACAATAAAAAAATAAACGCAATGGCAGGTCAGAAAAACAAAACAATCCAGCCCCAGTCATAAGACATACATCCAATATTGATCTTAACCCAATCCTACCCAGAGCTTGTTGCAAGAGGCAAGGATTTGAAGATTTAAAACAGCATGGTCAATGCCATGTGGACTTAAGGGAGAAGACCACAACCACAACAAAGGCTGATTCCTAGGTCCCACAAGATGCCACTGGTTGGGCAAAAACAATGGAGAATTTTTGTACAGGTGACAACTAGCATCTCGAATTGCAGTTAGAAGCCCACTGATAGCCAGGGCAACTCATAAAGCAGAGGTTTCATGTAGGCAAAATGAGAAGTGACCATAGTTACTCATGAAACTTCTGAATAGTTTTCAAGGTTAGCCCTGGATAGATTGTGTTAAATGAGAGATGATTAAATTATGAGTGCTTTCAGGTAGGGTCATATTTAGTATACACTATGGATCAGTGCAAAAATCCTCCTGGCCATGGCTGCCATTGGGTCAAAGAACTGAGTCCAGGAGGACTCTCAAATTACCATTCAAAGTTACAACGGCAGTGAAAAAAGTGACTTATGACTGTTTTTCCACACTCACAATCGTTGCAGCATACCCATAGTCATGTGATCAAAATTTAGATGCTTGGCAACTGACCCATATTTATAATAGTTGCAGTGTCCCAGGTTGTGTGATCATCTTTTGCAGGCTTCTGACAAGCAAAGTCAATGTGGAAGCCAGATTCACTTAACAATCGTGTACTAACTTAATAACTGTAGTAATTCACTTAACAACTGTGACAAGAAAGGCCATAAAACGGGGTGAAATTCATTTAACAACTGTCTCCTTAGCAACAGAAATTTTGGGCTTAATTGTGGTCGTAAGTTGAGGACTACCTCAATTACACTTAATCTTTGTATAATCTATAGTAGTGGAAAAAATACTGTATTGGATCTGATTATGAGCTTTGAGATACTGAGAGAAATGAAACCACTTAGTTAAATAAAAGAATTTTAAATAGATCTCATTAGTCAATATGTAATACATCTTTTCTGGAGAATTTTCAAGGAAAGTAATTCTAACTAAGATAATAAAATATTTCATAGTAAAAATAGTTATCAGCTTACCTGACTGATATTCTGGCATGATACAAGTTCTGTTTTGGGTGATCTAGAAACTACATGATAGAAAATTTAATGGGAATAGATCAAAACAGTGTCTCCCTGATCACTTTTTTTTCTCAACTCATTAGTGGTTATAGGACAACATAATCTTCAAGAATGACATCATATAGACTATATAACTATAAATCTGGATCATTTTTACTTAATTGTGACACACATAATTAAGTCAATATTTTTTAAAATAGAATACACTCAAATCAGATTTAAAGCTTAGTTTTATTCAATTAATATAATATAGTTGAGTTTTGAAGAAAAACACTGGCTACAGAACAAGTAATACTGGGAGAAAGTCTGATTTCAGTTATTGGGAGTATGAATGAACTGTGCAGATGTTCATTCTGATACTTAACTGTTGTGAATGGCAACTTGCATTCACAATACTGCAGACTGCTAGCCTTAGGCCAATAAATATTTACTTTGAGTCAGGCATGCCTTCTTGGGCCATGTACAGTGACAAATTATAAGAGCCCCTTCCTCTTTGCTGGTGATAGGAACATTTGGAGCCTTTTAAAAACAAATGCAGAAGCCATAGGCGGAAGCTGGGAAAAGTAGCCTTATAATTAATTTATTGGAATCTTCAGGAAGTGGGATGCCCAGGATCAATTGAAACTAAGGGAACATCTATTTCAGGATTCTGCTATCTCTGAAAAGAAAATGTTTAGCTAGAAATGCTGCATTACATTCAATTGTGTATACTTCTGCCCTTTATGTATAACCTTAGTTTATGTATGAAGAAACAACTTTCTTGAATCTTTTCTCATGTGTGATAATTAATCTAGTATCTAGTAATTTTATCTAGTATCTTTCTTTGGATTTGAGCAGAATACTAATTTGTAGAAGACCAGTAAAAGTTGCACAATGATCTTAATTTCAGATGCTAGCAAAATAAGGTTTAGGATCATCCAACATAGATTAAAACTCTGCATAGGAATGGAGATGCCAATTGCTCAAGTTGGCTTTAGAAAAGACCAAGGGACATAAGACATTGGTAGTGTGCACTGAAAAATTGAGATAGTGTAAAAGAATACCCAAAGGAAGTCAGTATTAGTTTCATTAGTTTTAGAAAGGCCTTTGATTGTGTCAATCATATCAAATTGTGGAATATAGTGGGATCAACCTGATCTAAAAGGATCATGGAACCCTGTCCTGAGAATCCTCCACTGGAAAATATGTCCAATAAGCATCAACAGCTTGAGGAAATTGAAAATTACCATCATTTGTACCTGATAATTTCTGATTGTCTTGTCCCAATGTATACTATTAAGAAGTATAATTATCAAAAAATGGGGGTGGTGGTGAATAATTTCCTGTTATTTTTAATAGAGAAAACATATCCCATTTATCCCATGGTTTCTTAATACAGAGAACAAAACTGTCCTTTTGTTTTGAAAAATAAAAAAATAAAAAGCTAGAATTAGAAGCTAAGCAACAGATAAAAAAATACTCAACATGCCTTGTATGTGAAGAGATAAATACTAGTAATCCTAAGTATTAAAGGATGTTAAACCTGTAACCTTTTTTACATGTGAAAATGAGGTTGACTGGATGAAAGGATTGGTTGTGATAACTGCCATCAAAAGAGCTGAAAAGGCAGTTCAATGCTTTCCTTAGATCCTTTCTTTGAAAGATATTATTTGGACTGGGACAGGTTTTCCAATGGTCCAGCAGAGCCGGAAAGGATGAAGCCAGGAACAAAATAGGAATCACTTGCAGTGTTATAAATAAGGAAGATTCTGGGGCTTTCTCCATGAATCCTTCCAAGTGCTATTCAAACACTTAGTGCAATTTAAAAAGCAAACCCTTTGGCTCTGTTTGTATGACTGCTAAAATCTTAACTTGGGTTTATTCTGAATATATGGCATGAAAGAGATTGAGCATGGGAATGAGAAATAAGAGACATTTAATATTTGGCTTCCTTAGCAGTTAATCCCTGGAGAGAGAAATGTGCCTGAGAATTTGTAAAACTAGAATAAATTGGAGGATGGAGTTACTCACAATCTCACTGGGCCTTCCCTAATAGAATAAGGACTCTCCAGGGAAATGTTTCTAAAATCCCACCAACAGATACATTTATTGAGGAAGACCTTTCCCCCCATCCTCTAAATATAGGAAAACTGTGACAGATAAGCTCAGTTTGAGCTAGAATTAGAGGCTGCATCAAGGGAATGGATGACATGCAAATCTAGGGTAATCAAATAGTTCAGCCATGTTCTATTAATGTGCTAAAAGGCTTATTGTCGGTACTTGAAATGGCTTGTTTAGTTGCCTCTTATATTAACTGACTAGCTAGCATGTCACAGGCACAGAGGCAAAATGGTGCCTCTCCTAAATAATGAAAAAGTAAAAGCATGACCATAAGAAAGCTTTTATTGGCAGAAACAGTTACAAACCTGTAACGTCCAGTGGTAACGGAATCAGCAACAGACAACTGGCAGAACCTGATTCCTTTTTTTCCAGTTTAAATCAGTTAAAGCATGTCGGCTGAGGAATTCTGGGAGTTGAAGTCCAC